CTGCGTTGGAAGGCCCGGGTTGGTACAAGACATCATAAGCTGTAGACTGATACCCACATGCTGAGCTTAAGCGAGCAATCCGGCCAACACCGGCATAATATTCAATCACCTCATACTGGGCACCCTCGGAATAAGGCGAAAAGGTCTGCCAACTTGCCAAAAGAATGACAAGGATAAATGCCTTGGCTGTCCAGGAATACAGTTTTGGATCCTTTACAGTTTCTATGAATGCAAGTCATGTGTTATGAAGCTCACAACATACAAATTGGTTGAGCTAAGGGTCTTTTGGAGCACCCAGAAATATCAGTCTTTTCAAGACACGTTCAAGAGCTTGTGGGCCCATTGCGTTCACCTCCCTTTTAGGCCAGCCGATCCCAACCCTTGATCAAAAAAGGCTTCATGAGCGATGTGATAATCTTCGTGAGCTGCCAAGAAATCCCAAGAAAGATAAATACAACACAAGCCAGAAGTACTTTCCAGCTCGCCATACTTTGCAAAGACCATGCTGCAGGCTCGACGGCGTGGCATTGGCACCTAGCGAGGGGGCCAAGTAGCTTGGGTGGACAAGTGATGGTGGCTTAGATTGGGTTCCGCAAGACACATTTTTTCAGATTTGCGCTCAGATGTTTGATCTGCAGACAACGCCCAGCAGCCAGGGATGAAAAGCTGACAGCACCCCTGGGTAAAGAACAGCTAGAGTACCTTTACGTGGCACCCCAACGCAAGTTGGGGATGTCACCTTGTTCAAGGGGGCTTGAACTTCTGTTGGGTTTTTGTTGCAATGCAGTAGTCTGGATTTTTCCATCCCATCCACTAGGAAGGCCAGCGAGCTAACAAACAACTTTCGAAGCATGGTATCCCTTTTCAGGCACCATTTGGTGCAATCTTCCCTGATTAGTCTTCCAGGGACGCAAGGTAATCATGGGCTACAAGCTCAGCATCCCGGTCCCAATCTTTCTGAGTAAAGTTCATGTAGTCCTTCTTGTCCAACAAGTTGAACTTCTCGGAGGCAAAGTCCCAAAAGTCCGCCTGGAAAGCCCCATGGTCATGGCAGAACCAGAAGGGTAAACATGTTTCTTGCGACAAAACCCTAAGAACTTGATAGGTTCTTTGGACCAAAAAAGATTTGTTTTCAATGTTTTCAAATTTCTAAACCTTGCCTCATGCTTGGAAAGGCCCTTGACCCGAATGGAAATGATGGACTGGAAAACGGAACGCAATGCTTCCCATTTGAAGCCACCCCAAGATGTGCTTGGCTTGTAACGACGGGCAAAGGTCTTGGGAATTTCACCTGAGCCCCGTTTCCTGCGGTTGGATTCCTTGGGGGGGGTCACATGGTCCCCCGGCTCCAAGGCAGCAGCAGACTTGCGCTTCTGGAGACCTGTCGGCGAAGGCCCTTGGGGCACGTGCTTTCGGACAGGGGTTTTCATCTCAGCTTCAGCATCAGCCGGTGGTGGTTCAGGCTTGGTCTTAGGCTTAGCCTTAGCCTTCGCCGACTTTGCTGTCGGAGTAGGCTTTGCGTCCTTCTTTGTGTCCTTCTTTGTGTCCTTCTTTGTGTCCTTCTTTGTGTCCTTCTCGTTGGGAGACTTTTTGGCTTTCGACTTAGGCTTGGTCTTGGCCTTGCCTTCCCCCTTGGGCTTGTTTTGATGGGCATTCTCCTTATCATCCTCCTCCTTTTCCTTCCGGCGAGCCTCGTCGTCAAGCTCCCTCTTCCACTTCTGCTGGTCCATGCGAGTGATGTTCACCTGCAAGCAAGAAAGCATTGAGTGGAGAGAAGGTTAATGGAGGAAGGTTTTCATTGGAGAAAAACAGATGTAACTTAGATTTAAACCCCAAAGATTGGCCAATGATGGCTTGTCTCGATTCAACCGCACCGTAATCACAACTAACTGCCTCCTGGTCAAAGACTGATTTGGAGGCACCAGGGTCTAAAGCTTGTTCACCACTAGCAGCAGCAACATCATCAGACGGCACCGGGTCAGGCTGGGTGGGCGGAACAGAATCCTCGTCAACAGGTCCCTCCATGTTCTCAGGGCAATCATCACTCATTTCATCCTCAATTCCAATCACATCACATGCCAATGTGTTGGACATAACCTTGGCAATGGGGGACAAGTCCATCTCGAGGGTATCCACCTTGCTGGGATCAACACTCTGGGGACATAGCGGGGCTTTGGACTCCTTCTTGGACTCCTTCTTGGACTTGGCTGCGGCCAACATCTGCCTAGGCTCAATACGGACACATGGAAACACGATGTGGTATTTGGGGGTATGTGTGCAAAAACTTTTTTTTGTTTTTTTTCAGGGTACTGCAAGGCTTCAATTCGCCTCTGGCGGTCAGATTTCTCAACCGGGGCTGGCTCACATGAAACTTCTGGCTGGGCAACTGCAGCCATAGGATTGGGAGCATCTTGGAGTGACCCCTTGGGCTTTGACGGTGACATGCGTGCAACCAACTCATCAGGGACACCCAAAGCCTTTGCCAACTCTGTGTCCTCTAACATGTCCTCCTCAGCTTGCCGCTCAACTGCTTCCCCACCTCCCTCTGCCTCTGGCTGCACACCCTCATAGCTCTCTGTGGCCTGCTTGGCCAGCTGTGAGTTGCTCAAAGGCCAGTAGCCACGGATGTGAGCGAAGAGCTCATCCAACAGAGTATCCTTTGGGATGACTGTCTGGGGGTAAACATGAGAAAGCTGACAGAAATAGAAAAATTATGCTGTAGAAGAGGGAAAGGTCAAACAAAAATTAAGCATGTTCAATGAGCAAGTGTCTCGCTTTTTTTCATTCCTATGCAATGTTTGGTTGATGAAGGTCATGAACCCTTTCAACGCCGTCCCATCGCAATGAATCTTAGCCACATCGTTCGACATGTTCAAAGAATCTCGGAGGAGTTTCACCTAACAGGGTGTTTGATGGGATATTGCACCGATATAGATTTTGCAACTAACAGACATTAGTGGTGATTTTAAACTTCATAGGCCTGGTCTTTTACCATGTCAATGGGTACCATAGCAGGCCCTTCCCACTGAGGACACCAAACATCAGCCAGCAACTTGATGACTTGTGTATTCAGCCGTAAAGAATCACCACTGATAACCCCAACGGTCTTGCTGCTTGGCCAGGCGAGCAGGCGACCAGAGTGAAGCAGGCGCTCCCGGGCAAGTGGGCTATTGGCAAGTATTTTATCCAGCCCGTCAAGCGACATGTTCAGTCACCACTCTTTCTCAGGACAGGATCCTTGAGCCGTCTACATGTATGTTATGGATTTTTCAGGCAAACTTTGAGCAACAGTGTCCCAGTTGTCAACCCCTCCACTCACCCTTGAAGGCACAAGCTGAACTGAGCAAAGCGGGTGGCACCTGATACCTTTCCGGGCCGCTATAGGGCTGAGGTAGGCACACCTGCGTGGGCGGCAAGCAATGTGACAACTGGCCAAAAGGATAAAGTCTAAAGGTGTGAAAAGACTTGATAGGAAAAGGGCATAACATGCAGAAAGGATTTTTTCCACTGACCCGATCTAGTGCACCATTCTCATTTTTGAGATCATTTCAGATCAGACCCAGAAGTTTCATTCTGGGGCTCAGAGGGTGTGGCTTCGGAATCTTTCAAGGAACCTTAGATTGGGGTGCGCATGCGCTCAAAAAACAAATCCATGACATTGTGTTAAATTGACTTGTGCTGACCTGTTTTAAATCAAGAAGCCTGTGCACTGACGAAAATAAGTTGCCAGTTCAAAAACTGATCCATGCTGTCTGTAGTTAGACACTGCATCGTTCAGCATCTGGTCGGTCATGGTTTCCTGGAGGGGTTAGGCTACTACCAGATCCAAAGGGTTTCCAATTGGACAGAACAGCCCGTGTGAGTTTCAAATTGGCACTGTCCCACCTGAGAATCCTTCGGTTTGAAAAGTAAGCTGGCCACTTCATTCCAGAACTTATCCGGGAACCCGGTCAATCCTAGCAGGGGCAAAGGCCATGAGATACAAAGCGAACCCAGTACAGGATTTGAACATGCTTTGGTTCCATTCAAGTTTTCTTCCCTTTGTTGTCCTTCATCAGCTAAGACTTTGAGAGCTTCAGGGCTACATTGCGTGAAAGGCATTTTGCCTATTCAAAATTGAGCCAATGCGTGCTGCCTTAGAAATTAGATTCAGGAATGAAGGAGCTTGCATCAGGCACACATGCGGCCACTACATGGACAATTAAATTGAGATTGGAGCTGGTCAAAGCATTCTACTTAATCATAAAGATGGGTAATTGTCCATGTACCGTTGAGCAGGCACAGAAGGGTGCGCACCTGGAGAAAAGCGGGAAGTGAGAACCATACCAGGTAAGCCAAATGGCTTCAGAAACCCCAAAATTGGAAGAATACCCACTCAACATTACTAAACCCTGCTAAATCAAATTTCCGGGTTTTTGAAGAATTTCCGGGTTAAACCCAGAAATTCCCAAAATCCAAGAAATTTGTTCCCTTCTCGAGGCTCCAGGTATATATAGAATATACTATATAATATACTATATATATACTATATATATATGCACAGGAAAGTAAATATCCATTAAATTCTCTTTGGATTCCCAATCTGAGATGGATGACCATACCACATTTATCCAATGTTTTGACCCCGTATAAGGGCATCTATTGGCACGTGTTGAGGCTAGAGATGCTGCTTCTTGTGAGGTCTTTTCAGCTTGAGAAGAGCGTGAATATAGTAACTGTACATACACCTAAGGTATGTTGGAAAAGTATAACCCATATACAACCCTTATATAACCCATCAAGTTCGGTTCTTTTAAATTCTTTTTTGTTTTTGGGTATATGAAAAATCCGTAGAACCAACTGGTTCATGGACAGTTATGTGTTTTTTTTAGGCACCACTTAGATCATATCTCCAGTCCACCTCTCTTCTGACAGTGACTATAGTTGACCACTTCTTCCGGTCAACTGGTGACATGTTGGGCCCGTTCCAAAACAGCTGGCCTGACTCCCATGCGCCGCAGGTTGGAGTATTTGGAAGTGATAGACCCAGAGACTCGCAAGCCAGTGCCGCGCGATGGACAGACACTAAACCAGCAGAAATTCGGGTTTCATACATCTCGATGTGGATATGGTTGAAACCAAGGGAACCAGTGGGTACACTTATGGTCAGCGTAGGGGCATTAGAACATCATTTTGTGTGGAGCCAGGTTCAACAGTTGGTGGGTCAAAACTTGTGATTTTTGTACATCTGAATGGAGGGATGAAGATCCATTTTCTAGCATGTGGGAGGTTCCATCAGAGAGCCACGGTGTTGTTCAGTTTCCACTTATTGCTGGTGGCATTTGCTGTCTTCGTTTTCCTTTTGTTCACAGTGCTCCCAAGCACTGACTCTCTAAGCAACGTGCATCCGTTGCGCTGAGGACCATTGGTGAGATTGTGATGAGTGGCAATACCATCATGAAAGGTGCCTTGACACCCCTGGTAGCCGGTGCATTTTGTACCCCATTTTCAGAACCTCCCCTGGTTTTTTTTTGGGGGGTGGTAACCATGGTTGGCAATCTAAAGCAACATGGTCACAGCGATGATAGGGCTAAAACATGTAATTTGTCGATATCCTGTTGCAATTTACAGAATCCTTGTCTTTGGGTGTTATGAGCAAAGGCACAGGACAGGTGCTGAGCCCTTCCATTCCTTTGGATCGCTATAGCTTTCAAAGATGTTTTCTCCTCGCCTCAGGATATTTCAAGAATCCGGAAGCGACCGCAAAGGAGTTCAAAGGCGGTGTTCCTCGCATCCAAGTTGGACGGATCTTCTCCAGGCTTTACGTTGACTCTAGCTGTCGTCACCCTTGACCATAAATCAGTATATAGTTTGAATGGCTCCTGAACTGGCTGTGTCGTCCCCTCTTGGGAGAGCCAACCATGTTGATTTGTCTCAAAATGTTGACTGAGCCTGAATTGATAGCCAAATACCTTGGACTTTTGGGCGGCCTTCCCATCATGTTCAGACTTAAACCAAGATTTCCTTGGTTGAATATCGTTATCTTCCAAGGTCTGTATATCCAAGAATCATATCACATCCCATTCTGTCCACATATGTCCACATATTATGTTGGTTGATAATTCATGATAATTCTACTTATATCCCAGCTATTATAGCAGCTATATTATATCATTATATCATATCCCATAACATCACCATCTCATGGTCGGCTTAGCCCTGGCAGCTACGCGAAACCTGGCTGCTACACTTAGGTCTTCAACACTGGCGACTTGGGAGTGAGGTATCCAGACGGCTACATCCAGCTGAAAGACAGGTCCAAGGACCGCTCATGTTAAACACCTCCATTGTATGGTTCCGAGTATCTGTGAATCACCTAGCTAAACATTTTGGTGGGGGGGCGCGTTTCATGTTGGGGGAAGGGATTCGGATGTTTATCTTAATGGATTTGATGTTTGCCTGCTACAGCATGGATCCATCAGATTTAGCCTATTGAAAGATTGTTTCCCAAGAGACACAGCCTGATGTAGCCACTATCATGTTTGAAATTTGGCAACCTACATGACGTTTGAGATATTTTTCGCAAGAAATCTCCTGTTAGTCCCATTCCATGATCAAACCTCAAAGTATCATTCAGTATAGCCTCCCGATGGGCTGCCTGGCAGATTGTCAGGACATCATCATTTCGGGTGGTGAGAACATCTCCTCTTTGGAAGTGGAAAGTATCATGATGAAGCATGATAAAATTGCCGAGTGCGCCGTGGTCGCAAGGCCTGACCCCGGGCATCGAAAACTAGGATGAACATGATGCCTATGCCTATGCTTTTTCTTCCTGATATTAATGGCTGTCCTCAACAAAAAGTGATTTTGGGAGTCATATAATGTCATATATAAGTATGGTAAACAAAACAACTTATCACCCCATTCCACACCATTGAAACGGGGCCAAAAACATCAAAATGGGTATAAAAATGGATCCTTGGAAAATCACCAGCAGAAATGACGGATCCCGTTGGGGTTTCCCAGCATTGCTGAACTGACCTCCTTTCAGGCCGGATGAGAAGTGGGGCGAAACCCCTGTAGCCTGGATCGTGTGCCGCAATGGCATGACCCTCAGCGATGAGGCGGGTGACATGGGGATCCCAGTGGGCGATAGCTGGGTTGTTTCAAGATGTTTCGCTAAGTCAATGGCCATTCCAGGATCCGATTGATTGGAGGTACCTACCACAAAAAAAAGGCCTATTTTTCAGGCCTATGTAAGGAAATATCCCCACAAAATATGGCCTTATATGGTACAGTACCTCCAATTTAGGATCCTGGAATTCCCATTGAACTAAGTCATGGTATGTCATGGTCTAACTGGATGATAACTGAGGCTAAAATATTTTGTTTTCGGAGACCTCCATAAAAAAGTTCCTGGGAAGAGTTCGAAGCTGCTGGTTTCAGAGTGCTTTCTTGGTGGTTTCTTGTGTTTCATTTTGTTTTTTCAAATAAAGCCTGGTGGTTTCAAATGTTTTGGCTGGTCTCTCGCACGTGGTGGATGGATGAAATACGGTAAAGAACTCTTATTTTTGTGGTTTTGAATACGTACGGTATTATGTTCCATTGTTTATCCTTCAAAAATTGGATAATGATCAAAATTGACGCGATTATTTCTTGCATGGGTTGAAACTGAAGCAAGCACAAAACATTGTGGCGAGGGAACATTCTCCATCGGTCGATGATGTTTACCAATGAGAAATGTGGGTTTCCCATGGCGGGTTTGAGTACCAGAGGAATCCGGAGAGTAGGTCGAACAATCAGGAGTAGGTCTACAGTTTTGTGGCACTCTGCAAACTCGACTTCTAGATGTTGGTGACAGGGCTGAAAAATCGGCATGAATCTTATTAGAGCAGTTTCTGAGATTTTCTGATCCAGGAGATGTACACCTGGTGCAAAGCACACAGCTCTTTGGCAGCACTGTAGCATCTTCAGTTGGGCTATGCGAAAAGCATCGAAAAGCTGTTCTATGACTGTTTGCTTGGTACTGTACTCCAGTTCAATAGATTTGGATGGAGGTGGCAGTATGGGTGTTTAGAAATGTCCAATGATGTTTATAAGACTACAAAGATCTGCAAAGTATATATACTTTTCTTGAGCAGTATGGATAATTAGTCTGAGGTTTAATGATTGTTCTCTCTCGACACTGAATGCAGTGCCACAAGGGCCCAGATGGGGTTTTAACTACAGCATATGCGTTCATTCTGGCCTGTCCGTGTTGACTAAGAAAATTGTCGTAGTCGTCGATGATATGTGAGCACTGTGATCACTTATGGAATGATACCCTCTGGTAAACTAACATAACTATGGACAATCACCATTTTTAATGGGAAAACTCACTATAAATGGCCATTTTCAATAGCTATGTTAGTTTACCAGAGGGTAATGGTTTGAACACGACTCTGCAAGGCCTCTTTTTTTGCATGAAATATGCGTTGCATCACCGAAAAAGGCCTCAAGGACTTGGCGTTTCGAAATTCATGGTTCCCTCCAATTCAGAATAGATCCAATACTAAAAACCATAGGTAACCAATGGTTTGGAGGAGGTCTAAGGAACCCTTATGTTGAAACATGCATTCCAACTGCAATATGTTTCATACAGCAGAAATGAAAGGTTCCGATTTGGAAAGGGGTGTTTTAACATTTGCGTTCAGAATGGGGGAAGACCAAAAGGCATGACTTAGGCATGACTTAGGCATGACTTCTTGATGATGCGTTCACAAGCGGGGAAAGCAAAAGGAGTGACATTGTCGGCGTGACATTTTTTGGGGTCCCTGTAGGTGGGTTCTGCGATCATGTCAAAAAGAAGAAACAACTATTGTCACTATATAGATCTATATATAGTCAATCTTACTATTGCATCTATATCACTATATCTCTTTAGTATCACTATAGTCAAATCACCCAGGTCACCCAAGCCCAGGGGTTTTATTATGGCCATTTTCCGCCTAGTGCCTGGCTATATGGTGCCGCGGACCTTTGTCTTCGAAAGCTTGGATGGAGTGAAGAGCCTTGGCAAAACGATCGCCACGGATTTTTTTGGGCCTTGGAACAATGGAACAATGGTGGTTCAATGGTTGATAGTCGTTTAATGCTGGTTAATAGTGAATAATAGTGGTTAAATAATGATTCACTGATTGGTGGTTTGGAACATGAACTTTATTTTCCATAATAATATATGGGATGTCATCCTTCCCATTGACTTTCATATTTTTCAAGACGGTTGAAACCACCAGCCAGTCGTGGACCTGGGAAAAATCCATGAATCCCCATGGCAATCTTTGGGGACATGGGACTTTTGTCAGCGGGACATGGGACTTTTGTATACTTTTGTCATGAATAGAAACAACAAATGGAAATCCAAGGTTTGGGGTTGCATGGAGCCAGAAAAATGTGTTGCTTTTCGGGGATAATGGGAGAAGGATCATCAAACTTCTCAAAACTTGCTGGGGATGAAAATCTAGTTATAAGTTATACCCAGCTACACCATGGTGTGAAAGGCAGGGTACAGTGGGAAACCAGCAAAATACCGGACATTAACCACTATAAACAAGTGAATATTAGTCAACAATCGATATTTGGATAGATAGGCTACTAGACACTTACCTTGTCCTGTTTATAGTTGAATACAACTTTCCGGCAATGAACTTGTCTGTTTGCATGGTATCCAGTCATGGATACCTGTGGATATCAGTGGAACATCAATTGATGTCACAAGGGCAACTCACCCAGGACTCCCACGGGAAAGATTCAGAAACAGGCCTGGTTCTGGGGGCCGCCGCAGTGCAGAGAGTGAGATCTTGACAACATCACCATGTTTAATTACCATGTTAAGTTATTACCATATGTTTAACAGGTGAATAGTTTAAATAGTGGAATTCAATGGGCCATGTTCCAGTGCACAAAACTGTTGCATTACCGGACGGTCCTTGATATTTTGTCTTGTTGGCATCCCCCGGATGGTTCATTTCAGCTTGGTATCGCCTTTGGGTCGATAGATACTGGACCTTTTGTGGCCAAACAATGTTGGCTGAAGTTCGATCTTTTGCAGGAATCAGGCCCTCCCCTTCATTTGGATTTGGAGGTAAGATTGAGGTAAGAACAAACGGATTCCGGATTTCTGTGAACAAGAAACCTAGAACAGCAATCCACCAAAAGAGAACTCCTCTTCAACTCTGTTGGTGAATATCCCAAAAAAACATGTATAGGTCTCTAGGTCGGGGATTTTCTGTTGAAGAGGTACTGAGGCAGAAGGCGAAGGAACTGAATAAGAAGGGTTTCTCCATCGTCTCAGCGAATGATGTCCGGGCCCTAGATGTGTTTCATGGAGCCCTCGATCATGGCATGTCATGGCCGCTTGTTGGCGGGAAAGAAACTCCCAAAATGTTTGGGAAAAAAACACAAGATAGATCGAAATAGATAAGAGTTGTTTCAATGATTTGCCAAGTGATCACTGCTCTACAACTTTGATTAAGGACTATATATATAGTTAATGTACTACTAATATCATGCTCAACATATCTTTGTTTTTTTGAAAAGGCCATCCAACGTTTGCCATGGATTCAGTACATGACCGGCCGTGGCCGGGTTGCCAATCTTCCAGTGAGTTGAACGTTGGCAGAAGATGTGCCCAACATGCAGGACCTCCCTTTCTTGGTTTGTTTCCTAAAACAAACCCTCAGAAATCTGAAGAGATGCAAATTCCCAACATCAGTGCGGCTGTGTACTCATTGTTTCTTCATTTTGTTTTCCTGCAGTGCAGATCTTACGATTTTTCACATGTACCATTATGCCTCTTGCTTGCATGTTGAATCATGGGATTAGTTTAAGACGGTTCAGGAAAAATACACAGGAATCATTGTTTTAAAGTTTTTACCGTGATAGTCTGCAGGTGTCATGTCATTGTCCTTCAGATTTGCCTTCATCTCCATTGGGTCCGGGATGGAACCCCTTCCAGCAGCGCCAGTGTTGAAAAAAAAACGTTGCGCTAAGGCGGCCAAGTCCAAGCTATAAGGCCCCTTGGAAACCACGGATGCTGGTGTCGTTGTTTGTCATTCTTGGGGTTCCAATGGGTTCCACTAGTTGAACTTGATGAATCTTGATAAGTGTTTTGTCATGTTTCGGATGATAACTAGTATGACACGTGTATCAACAGCGTAGTCAGTGGAAGGTTTCGAGCAAGATCATCTTTCTCCGACTCCTGAAAAATGGGCGGTCGAAAAATGGCCAAATGAACGGCTGCGCTGCAGCTTGGAAGGGGCCGCAGCTACAGCATTTTCAAAGTTCAAAATGTTGGTGTGGCTGAAAATAGGGTAAACCCCAAGTTTATGGCTATGTCAATTTTGGAATAGGATGACTCAGCAGAATCAGCAGCAACTTTCGGGGGTACTCTATTTTCAGTCAAGCCCAGTTTCGTGAACTGGGGGGTGCTGCCTTGAAACTGGCACAGGAGAAATCTCTGTATCCAGGACGAGGTAGGAATCCCTCGGCGACGTGTTGTGCAACGTGCTGGCACGTTGGTGAAATTGATCTGTGTTTCTTCAGATTTCTGGGGGGACTAAGATTGCCATTTTCCTGGGCTGTTGTGACTTCTTTTGCCACCAGCTGCAACACGCATCACTTGATTTGCTGCCGTCCTGGCACCTGGAAAAAAAGATGGCGGCTGAAGATATTTGGTGGATCGAGCTGGGATAACTTGGGCGAAATTGGGGTCTCAACAAAAAGTATGAAACAAATGGATGGTGAATATGAAAAGTCACCAAAACCTCTAGGAATTTTCTGATGTGTTTTCCATGGTTTTCCCTTCGTCTCTGCACATACAGTATTTCTTTGTGGAGGGCTTGAAAAAATGACCATCCAGCTTCTCCACCATGTTCCAGCAACTTCTCAACCGAGGCTGTGAAGGAATGCCAGTAGACAGTGATGGCTATCCATATCAGTCAGGGCCTCAGTGGGCCTCAGTGGCAATGGCATGCAATGGCCACATTGTGTTGAGATTGGCCATTTGACTCCCAAAATTTGCTTGGTTGGAAGTTTTCCAGATCCATTGTTGCTGATGAGTCTGCATTTTCTGCACACGGCGCGCTACAGGTCCAAATTGGTGACTCAAGGAACAAAACGACCATGCCATGGGTTTTGTTTGAGCATGGACCTTCGCTGAGTTTCAGGTGTTTCAGGTGCCCCACAAAGTCCCCCACCCCAACATCCGGTGACCCTAGAGGCCCACTCCAACGCTGGTCACGGGCTTCAGAGGACAAGTTGGGCCCCAAGTAGCGGCTGGAGGAAGTTGGGGCTGGATTCGGATGTCCTCTGGCTCATGCATTTCTGACATGAGATGGCTTGAGATTGGTATGGTTGATGTATTTTGAGATATTTTGAGCTCCAAGTTGACTTGCAACTGGACGATTGGGTTCCAAGGGAGTGAAGATCGAAACCATGGCTGAGATATACTGTGACTATTAATTAGATAGTTGCTTGTCTCGTTTTCTGAGGCTGTCTTGAAAGTTGCCTGTGGCGGGGTCAGGCGCTTACGCAACGATTCTGGATGTTTTGTACGCATTTTTGAGTGTTTCCCAAAAAGAGAGACATGGTGAAATCATGTGAATTCCCAAGCGATCGCTTGAACATGTGAGTTTACATGTTGAGCTATGCAATCCCATGTTGTTCTTTTGCAGGGCATCTACAGGTGTAAGTTTAGGCTAAAGTTTCTTCGTTGCAGGCGTTGCAGTAACCGAGGTTCACAATCTTGCCATCACCGAGCCAGACCAGACACCAAGCTGAATTCAGCCATAGTCAGCCATGCCCTGGCTGCCAGTTGCAGTTTCAAGGTGGTCTCTTCAAAATAAAGGACCCCAGAAGATGGTCCACTGACATAGACATGGCAGGTCTTCCAGGGAAGTTACAGCTCGTTTTGGGATGTTTTGGGGATCAAAGGGGTGTAACATGGTCCAAACAGACGTCCAGAGATGTCCAGGCCAGGCTGAAGACCAGGTTTTCACGGCTTCATCTCTGTTTTTTTGAATCGATCATGGGATGATGATCCCAAATTTTACATGCGTGCTGCATTGATTCCACTGGGGATGATGGATTCAACAAAACCGGGATCCGAATGAAAATGTGGATGAATTAAATTATAGTGACCTCAATGTCGGTGAATTATGCCATAATTCAGGCAGATCTATATCCCATACCATGTTGGTTATATATATATATGTCCATTCGATTCCCCATCCCCATATATTCTCCTTATATTCCCCACTGCTGCAGTTGAACCATCGTACCAGTAGTACCGCACAAGGCGGTGGCGGAAGTTTCAAAAATAGGAAACCTATAGGAGAGATTGGTTGTTGTGAATCACGGATGGCAGAGTGAATCCACTGATGGACCGAAAGGTGGTTGGAGCTGTGTTTTTTGGAGTGGTTGCAATGGTTGCAGTGGTCACCTGGTCGGTCACCTCACCCACAACTGCTGGATGTAGTGTGGTTTAGTGCAGCTGTAGTTGTAGTTGTAGTGTAGTGGAGTTGTAGTTGTGGTGTAGTGTAATTAGTTTAGTGCAGTTGCAGTTGCATTTGTGGTGGTGTAATGGGTGTAGTGTAACGTAACGTAATGTATTGTAATATAATATGTAATGTATTGTATTGTAACGTAGGGTAGGGTAGTGTAGTGTAGTGTAATTGAGTGTTGTGTGGTGTGGTGTAGTGTGGTGTGATGTGGGGTAGTGTGGTGTAGTGTAATGTAGTGTAGTGTAGTGTAGTGTGTAGTGTGTTGTGTGTTGTGTTGTGTAGTGTAGTGTATTGTGTGGTGTTGTGTGGTGTGGTGTAGTTGTAGTGTAGTGTAGTGTATATAGTGTAGTGTAATGCAGTTAGTGTAGCGCAGTTGTAGTTGTAGTGTGGCGTAGTGTTCTGCAATGTATTGTAGTTGTAGATGTAGTTGTAGATGTAGTTGGGTGTAATTGTACTTAGTGTAATGTGTGGTGTAGAGTAGTGTAGTGTAATTTAGTGTAGTGCACTGTAGTGGAGTGTAGTGGAGTGTAGTGAGGTGTAGTGGAGTGTAGTGGAGTGTAGTGTAATGTAGTGTAATGTAGTGGAATGTAATCTAGGTGTAGTTGTAGGTGTAGTGTAGTGTAGTGTGGTGTAGTGGTGGTTGTAGTTGACAATGCTACAAAGCCCTCACGTTTTGCTCACTTTTGACAAGGTGCACAATCCCTTGCGCCTGTCACGCAAAACGACACCTGAACGTCCAAACGTGGCGCCGACATGTGGTGCTTTTAACATTTTGATTTCCAAACGTGCTTCGCGCCACAACTGCGTGCACTTTTTCGACATCTCAACTTCCAAAAGTGCTCCGAACGTGACGGTGTTTTTATCTTTTTCACTTGCAAATGTGCTTCGCGCCACAACGGCTTGCACTTTTTCGACATCGCAACTTCCAAAAGTGGTCCGAACCTGGTGTGTTTTGTACGTTTTTACTTCGAAATGTGCTTCTCGCCACAACTGCGTGCACTTTTTCGACATCTCAACTTCCAAAAGTGCTCCGAACGTGAGGGTGTTTTTATCTTTTTCACTTGCACATGGCTACAACGGCGTGCACTAGTTCGACATCGCAACTTCCACAAGTGGTCCGAACCTGGTGTGTTGTGTACGTGTTTACTTCGAAATGTGCTTCTCGCCACAACTGCGTGCACTTTTTCGACATCTCAACTTTCAAAAGTGGTCCGAGCATGGTGTGTTTTGCACATTTTGACATGGAAATGTGCTTCGCACCACAACGGCGTGCAATTTTTCATCTCTCATTTGACCAGCTGGCTCCGTACCCGCCGCTTTAGCGAGCCTACTTTTTGGACCCTCCGGAGCCCCAAATCATTGGAAAAACACAGTGTTTCCTGACTTTCCTACTTTTTCGCGCACCTGGATCTTCTTTCTTCTGACTCTTTCTCTTTCTTCTTCTCTTCTCTTCTCTGACTCTTCCCATCTCTGCTTTTCATCTGTCCATATTGTCGGAAGTTTGACTTCTAAACTTCCTTCGACTATAGTGATGTAGTTGTACCTCTGTGCTGATATTGCTCCCACGACATGTCATCGCACCGCACCACCGTACCAACATCGAACGTCCGTACCATGTTTGACACGCACCCAGTCCGTATCTATTATTATCTATTTTGTTTGATACCTCCATAGCATTGCTCTTCAGAATAATTAAAATTCTCAGGTCCCTTGCGCTGAGTCTCTCCAGTTTGGTGAACAGCAGACGGCCCCAGATTTTGCGCTGCCGAAGCATGGTCAATCATAGAGATTGAGCAACACAGATATGGAAATTTTCCCTGCAAAGCGGGGCTAGGGATTGAAACCAACATTTTTTGATTATTCTGTTGGGACAGGGATCAATGTTCATGTGAGAATCATAGATTCATTCAAGCAGAAGGGGATGATGCACGAAAGTCTTCCAGAGTTGAGCGGAAAACCCAAAGGATCCCAAGAGTCATCTTCAACAGTCACGAAGATCGGCAAATGATACGGAATACCGTCCACTCAGTTCTGCCAGTTATGTTTCCTTTCAAGTTTTTTTTTGAGGGTTTTGGCCGTTTGGGTTCAATGTACACCAGATTTGATACATCATCGTTGCTTATTCCATGAAAACCGGTGCAATTTTCTTTGGAAATATTGTAATTGTAACCCTAAATTCCCTGATTGATAACTTTCCCAATCACTATTATCACGTTATTTATACCCTGGCCCACCTAGGTGAGACCTTGGCGGATGTTGCTTTTCGCAGCAGCAGCTTTGCAGCAATCGATGTTTTGTTTCGTTTTTTCGAAGTGGTTGGTTTATTCAACCAAGAAGTACTTACTGGTGCTTAGCAGGGAATGGATGGGACTGGGGGAATGGGATGATTATTACTAGTGATTATGTATAGTTCTCTCATTCCCTGCTAAGCACCAGTAAGAGTAGGTAGATGGTCCATTTATATTTCCTACAAGGACAAAAATCTGGAGTACACCAAACACTGGGTGATTTCAACGATGTTAAACATCTATATATATTTTCTATGCATAGAAAGATACGTAAAGATACTGTTTAAGTATGTTTAAGTGATATTAAGTGCACAGAATATCTCCATATATCTCCTTACCCATAGGATCCATGTATGGTATATATGCTAACATTGGGGGTATATTGATGGTGAATGTTACCATATAAAGCATACATGGATCTTATGGGCTAAATTGATCTAAAAACTGCTGGTCCCGAGGCGAAGGCAGTGTCCTCTACGCCCATCTTTGCATTTTGAAGCACAATGCCACTTGGCACATCTCGGCGTCCGGCTGCGGTCCTGGGAATTTTGGTGGGATCCAAAGCGGTCGACCCGTTGTCGCAAGTTATGACCCAATAACATGAGTTGGGTTTTTGTAATATAGTTGTAAGTATTTTTGTAATTTAGTTGTAATTATATGGATATGGGTCAATACCTATAGATACATTTTTAGTGGGATGAACATCCATTTACCAGCTATTTTGGGGTTCACTAGGTACCAGGGTTTTGACCCATCCCCATATAGTTAATTCATTAATTATGTATAATTCCAGTAGATCAATTTACAATTGGGCTATGTATGGTCGTAGCGACCTCGAGCGAATTTCGATTGGCCAACCTGACATTTGGACAAAGGCTACATTGACAAGCTCCATGAGGCTCCATTGACTAACCCTCCAGCATTCACCGTTTCACTCGTTTGCGTGTTACAACTTGGGGCGCCACGGTTCAAATTCTCAGTCTGGCTATGGGAAAATGATACTTTTCGAATCTTTGCGATGGAGTTATGTCATAAACTCGAAGCGCAGATCCGCAATTTGCGAGGTTTCCCACTCTGGTCTTTTCCAGGATACCCAACCAGCCATAGCCAAGTCATGAGTGGAATCTGAGAAAATCCAGGTGGATGATGGAGATGAGAAAACTTCTTGGAACCTATCATGGTCATGTTGAAAACCATGGTTTCAGCTGTTTCTTGTCGATTTTCCCATTGAACCACTCGGTTGAGCTGGGGCGCGGCCTTCGCGGCTTAAAAAACCCCAGAGACCGACAGAGGCTTTATCGCTGCACTCCTACGTCATGGCTCAACTTGAGGCCATTGGAGCGCGACGTCGCGTTCTTTTCAAAATCTCTGTCGGCTGATTTTTGTGCATTCGGCTTTACATGGTTTTACTCTCCAATATATTTGGGATGAATATATGAATAGGGATTATCACAATGATGGGAAATCCTATGAACACTTATGAGCCAGGTCATTTGCATAACCCATAGGATCCATGTATGGTATATATGCTAACATTTGGGGTATATTGATGGTAAATGTTATATAGCATACATGGATCCTATGGGTAACAGAAACACACCTTATTTATCTATTTGAGCACCAGAAGACTACCTCTTACCATTGAAAATGATGTGATCGCAGCCTTTCAGGGGGGGACGAACAGCAGCGTGGTAGTTGATGGAGAACAGCAGATTCCGTTGGCCAATGCCTTGGGATCTGAGAGCCACAGCGGAAATTCGATGGAAATCCAAGCGGAATCAGAGTTCCCAATATTGGGCGTGATGTTCCAGAATTGACAATGATGTCATGCATAGAACTCGTTGAATTTCAGATATATGATATATATATATATGTGTGTGTGTGCGTAAATATAAGTCATTAATTAAACACAATAAGTTCATGTTTCTAAACAAAATACAACATATCACAACATCTAGAATAAACCATCATGAACCTATATGCCATCTGAAATGTTGGGCAAACATAGATCTAAAAGTTGCCAATCCAACCGATGCTAAGGTGGCATTGGCAAACGTCAGAGCCCAAGGAAGAGTTGGTGATGTAGCCGTTCATCGTGGAAAAATAGGGCTTTGATGAAAACTGTTGTTTAAATATTTTTTTCCAGTATATCCAGCGGGATATGTTTTTTTTGGCTTGTTATGATTTTGGCCATGGATCTTTTGTTGGGTAAATCTTGATATTCAGTCCTTGGGGATGCCAAATGTGACCTGTTGTCTCAATCCAGGTATTTGATGCTATGTGTAGGCAGTAAAAATGTGTTAATAGCGATGTTTACCGTTTACAAATCATGAGACCATCACAAAAGATTCGACTGCATGGTATCGTGCTATTTGTCCACTTCGCATCAGCCAAGATAGCAGTAGCACTGGTTCGCGAGGCGCGAAAGGAGGTCCTCTTGGACTTTATGCAGTATGTCTACACGCTGGACATTGATGAAAGGACCTCAGGATGAAGATGTGCGGAAAGGGTGGTGCTAGAATTGGCATAGGTGAATTCATGTGAATTCTATATTATTATATGGTTTATGGTAGGTATATCGGTTAGCTAGGTTTTATTGCAGATATGTGCTATATCGAAATATGTGCTACACACAGAACAAGGGGCACCATCTTGTGAGATGGCGCGTTCGGAATCTGAAGGGAGATCCATTGTGCAGCTAAAGGTAGATATGGGACAGGAATGTATGGCAAGGATTAGACTTTGGGGGTACCCATGGGTAGCCCATGCTTTGGACAACTCACGTACAGCAAAATAGAAGAGGTTATGGATAGTGAGTCCAACCCAAAAACTCCGAAGATGCACCATGTGATGAATGTGCTAGTTGATAAGTCTACACTGTTTTATAATGTGTTAAAATAATGTAGTCTTAAATATAATGAACTATTTTTGTTGAAAGCTCCTGGAATTTGATGAAGGGACAACACATCGGTTGCTATGTCTCTATGTGTTGTTTCGTTGAAACTAGGGAATCAAGAGCGTATTTTTTCCCCAACCCATTCGTAATAGTTCAATAATCATTAAAATCAGGGATGAACTCATTCGACACCCCATTTTCCTATAGTTAGTAAACTGATTCACACATGTTTTGTTCCTCAAGAAACCAACCCCATAGCTGCATCCTGAGGCTGCCACCATGTCACTTTCCAGCTTCTCCGTGGGAATCCGCAGTGAATTCTATGGTGGAAGAATCTCCAACGAGTGAGTTGGGGGCTATAAACCAACCCTAAACCAACTGGGGGCGATAAACATCGTAATTGTGTTCTGTTGTTTTTCTGTTGTATAAATGAGGAAGTACTACCCAAACCAGCTACACATGGTCATCTGGTTTTTGCAGGATATATGAGACTGGCCATGCGGAAGAATGTATCTGGATAGTTGGATCTATAATGTTCAGTCCTTTGTTTGTCTCTAGTTTTTGGCGGTGGGTTGTTGATTTCGCATGCATTTCAACGTCAACATTTGATGATATCGTACTTTGCTAGGCTTGCCCAGTTGACTTATTGCTATGAACGAGCGAAAAGCACATACCCACTATAAAAATCAAAGATGTGTATGGTCATGTTTTAATTATGCTCCAAAGAAGTTGCAGGTTTTGCCACTGCTGCCCCAAACTTCAAACTGAGGCGGTTCTAGAACTCTATCACCTTGGTGATCGGTACACTCTGGCCTGTTTGCTGTCTTGTCGTTGTGTCTAGAAATGTTGAGTATATACCCCATTTAATCCCTGTATCATGTCTATTTTATGATTGAAATTATGATTAACATTTCATATGTGTGTCTCCACATGTTTGGACGAACCATGACAAACCCTTTTGGCTGCTGAGTCTAGAAGTATTATTTGAACTTTTCACTGAGACACATTGGGAAATAACATGAAACAACGATGAAATGGGAAGGACTTGCTCTGCAGCTGTTTTTCTTTAGCAAGAAGGGTGCAAGCAAGTGTTTGAACCGTGTGGAATCCCTCCCAGGCATGTTGGACCTGCTTGCAGCTACACAGATGAACTGGAAACAGAACTATCACCCCAGAAGCCCCAAGCTGCAAAACCAGTATTATCAAAAATCAACCAGTATTACTATCACTTCATTGTAAGATATTGTAATTACTTAATTGGTATCAATCATTATATTGTCCCAACTGATAGTTCTGTATGATAATTATCAATCGCCAATCACCAACATTAAAATTACATTGTAATTACATAGTTATACATAATGGGATATTATGAGATATTATGGGATTATTATGAGATTTATGGGATTTATACCCATCACTACATAATTTACAGAACGATCCCACCTAAGATGATGTCAACTTAAGGCAGGTCATATCTAGTGACCCATCTGGCGGCCATGGGACGACCAAAAGCACCACGTTTGCCTGGGCGAGAGGCTCGCAGGTGCGCCGTGGATCGATTTCACGAAAAAAAACGATGGCGGTTGGGCCGAAAGTGATGTAATTATGATTAATTGTGATTAATGATGTGTAATTCAATCCATAGAAGCCTACAGGAAGGTGCCCCCAAGTTATAACTTAGTTATGCAAGTTAGAACTAAGTTATGGAAGTTAACTTGAAGTTATGTTAACTTATCTTAGAGAATTTACAACATAAGTTATAACTAAGATATATCTTTCGTATCTTTTTACAGAGTATGATTTGTGATTTTTCAAGTAGGGAATGAAAATCGATGTGCCAAGTTAAGATTTGCAGCGAAAGGCATTTTTTGTATGCTCCAGCCATGCATTTCAAGGTAAAACAATGAAAGTATCATCTTTGGAGCTTATCCATGTGGGCAGACATGCGTTGGGCAGTGATGCCCAGTGGACAAAAGTCTTTTCGTTGGTCCTCTGAAATATTCTGGTTGCAGCTGTTCGCGTGCGCAGCAATAGCTTCGAAATGTGCAAGAGGAGTTGGCCGTGGCGGCACAGGAAGAAATTGATGATTGCTGCGTCAGTGCGATGAGGATTCCAAAGCAGGACGTCGCCTTCTTTGAGTTCAAAAAGATTGAACTTGCATCGTGAGCTGAGGCAACTATCTTGAATCCCTGTGGTTGCCTCGACCTCTTCAGCAGAAAAGGGGTTGATGAGAGCAAAACCTTCAGGTAGAAAAGGCGTCGCATTGATCATTTCGACAAGGCGTAGCAGCAGTCGTGGCATGAGGTGACGACTAAATTCACCATCAATCAGGAATTGATCCACCATGTCGGAAAAAAGTCCCTTGTAGTTTTGATGCGCCGACTCGACACCCCAGCAACTAATCGAAAATCCAAGTCGTTCATATTGTCGGCCAAGATGAAGCCTATGGTGGTGTTTTGGCCTGATATAGTCAGGCCAAAGCCCGGCGAATTGCTTTTGGTGCTCCTCTTGTGCTTCGTTCAACTGAGACCAACCAGATTTTTCATCACATAGAAAGAGTGCGTCGGTGCAACAGCACAATTGTAGAAAGCTTTCTGCGACCTCCTTTAGTTCCGGCTGTCGCAACCAAAGAACCTCACAGATCCAGCGCAAGAGTGGCAAGATGTTGTGCGTCTGTTCCGCGGATCCTTTGTAGCTTTCCTGCCCAAACAACGGCTCTCCAAACAAGCGGTTGATTTCCGATTTGCCGGTTAGACTGATTCGTCTTTGCCAGCCAGCATCTTTGACTGCAGTGCATAATTGCTGCGTGGTGATTCTTGTGTGTCGGTAAGCTGTGTTGAGCAGCAGGGCGATCTCTGTATTCACGATGCCAGTGGAAAAGTAGTTGTGCATTGCATCGTTGAGTCCGATGGACAATGTGAAGTGCGCTCGTGCGACCGGACAACCCCAGACACCAGCATCATCCAAACGATAGCCCAGGCAGCGTTCTCTCATGTCCATTTCTTGTTTTGACATGAGATTTTTCTGCTGCATCCAAGCGACAATCGTGTCGCGCAACTGCGCCGCGTCATACTGCTTGAACGCAGAATAGTCATGCTCAATGATGGTGACGAAAGATGCGTCTCTGTTTGGCGCATCACTTCCACGCATCACAACGTTGGCGCAGAATAAACATGGTTTCAAGCCAGCCGAACCCTTACAGCTGTACGCTGCCCGTTGACTTTCTCCATCACTGAGGAATGCTTTCAGGGTGACCGTCACGGCAAGATTTTCTCTGACATGGAACGGTGCATCTAATCCTTGCGCCACCCATTCGCGGACGAAGGCTGCCGTGGCGCCCCCCAGGCCACCTTTGCAGGAAGACAACTGTGCATGCGTGAGCGCAGCAACTGGTAGCCAAGATCGGCTACTTGCAAACGTGTCACGCAGCAACGAAAATGTGACGTAGAATAGACAGGTTTTTTGCCTTTGCAAAGGGTTCAAGACGTTGCCCGCTGTGCACTCATCGTGCGCCAGGATAGCAGTCAGTGCACACGCTCCAGGAGTCCGGACAAGAGCTGCGAACGATGCGCAGCGATCCACCAGAAGGGTTAGCATTTGTTTCATATTGGCCATATAAAAGACTATGTCTTTTCGACCTTCGACCGCGTTGGGAATGCTAACTTCTCGATAGCATGACCGGAACGGCCCTAGGACTTGCGCAGCTTTTCGCTTGAAAGCGCCCGACTTCTGCTTCGGATGTTCTTTCCCAGCAAGCAATTTCTGGATCGCATAGACACTGCGTTCACTGTACCGTGCCATTGCCTGCTGCAGGCCGGCAAGGTCGATCTCATGTCTGCCATGGGGACGGCTACTCATTGAGCAGTATGTTTTTACAAAAACTACTAGGCTGCAAATGGCTGCAAAGTAGACATGACTGTTAATTATGGGCATGAGCTGGGGAAAGCAACACTCACTTATAAGGTAGGAAAGGGTAGACAGAGGAAAAGGCGGAGGCTTACGATTATTTTTTTCCACGCCTGCTAGGTAACCTCGTGGTGAACTATTAGACCGCCAAGTGATACTCTAACGTTTCTAAGAAGTCTTGAAGCCAATTCCAAGGCTCCCCGTCAAATGCCTTAGCATGAAGGGCCAGGAAGCGTAAGCTGCTTTGGATTTCCTCCAGGAACATCATGCGATTGGGATGCTTGACGTTCCATACGGAATTGCCTCCGACCTTTGGCATCTTGGCAAGCGGCAAGGTTTGCATGGCAGGCTTCAAATAAGTCCAGTCGAACAGCACGGCTCGCAGTGTGTACAAACAGCAATGACAAAAAGACACCGCATCGCTGTGATCTTGATAGATCGGATTCACGGAAATCTGTCCCAAGATTTCCTTCATGACTTCGACAGCATCTACTACGTCGTGCAATTCTGCCTTTGTCTTTGCCGTTTCGCGGAGCGCGGACGCTACGCTCTGCGCGATCGTAATCGCACACAGAAGTGCCATGACGTCACCGGGAAGGCTTCTATGATTAGTGCGGGCGTTAGTTCGAACCAAAAACTCGATGACGAATATATACATGTTACGGCTGCCAATGGGACGACGTGGGAGAAACGACATATAATATTTTCTGTGAAAACTCTCAACAGACACTATATGAAACCTTTCCATGATTGATTTCGAAATGTACAAGACTGTTTTGACTTTAAGTGTAATGCACGCTACCTGGACACAAACATACAACAATTTTCATGCCCGATTGCGCTACTGCTGTCGAATTGACCGGTGCAGCGATGCTACGACTAAAAGTCTTCAGAGCAGTGCGTCACTGCTACTGGAAATCCCATGTCGAGAGTCTCAGTGTGAGTCCCCGCCAGGCGCGAACCCTGCAATTCACGCAACATGGCGTACTCCGACAACCAGAGCAGCGTGTCAACAAACACGTGCTCGTTTTCTTGGCCAAGTCAGCCGTTCATTTCTTGGCTTTTGCTTTGGCAGCTTTCTTCGGCAAATTTTCCTTGTTGACTCTAATGAACGCTTGCGCCATGCGAATGGCGGCATTCCCATCCTTGACCACGGTACCCAGGTCCTTGTCCGTCGCCAGCTGGTCGCTGGGCACCACACTGAGGGACCCGCCTTTGGCCGTTATTCCAAGGAGCTTGGTGCAAGTAGCCAAAGCTGAGTCCAGTTTTATCTGGGCAGCGTCCAACTGTTCTTTGCTGGCATCCGGGAGAGCCACGACAGAACTCAGCTCTGCAATCTTCTCATTGCAGCCAGCCATCTTTTCGTGACATGTCTTCAGCGCCGGGAGCAGCTTTGCGGCTGCGGCGCATGCTGCCGTCTCCGTCTTCCGTCGCTTTTTGTGTGCCATGCGCTGTGCCTTTGCTTCCTCCTGCAACGCCTTCTTCTCATCAGGTGTCTTTCTTTTTTTGCCACCCTGCGGCGCGTCTTCAGGCGCCTGTGGCAAGTCCATTGGCGCGGACAAAGGGGCTGCTGGCGCAGTGCGGGCCAGCACCCTTTCGCGCGCATCCGCCTCCATCTGCAGGATCCGTTGCTCCGTGACAGAGTGGATGCGCTGCACACTAGTCGATTCAATTTCGACTTTGTAAGTCTTGCCCAGCAGCGGGTGGTCGCGACATTCTGCGCTAGCTTCAATCTTCTCAGTGTTGTAACCCTTCAGCTCCCAGAAGCTTAAGGGCTGAAACTGGCCGGTTTCCCCTTCCGAGGAAACCTTGGAAGCCGATTCTATCATTTCCTGCTTCAAAACTCCACGTGCCTGGCTGTAGGCCAGCCGCTGGTCCGCGGAGTTCATGCGAGCCAGCTTACACTTCTGAAAGAATACCGTCGACTCCGTTTCGGTCAACACGGTCTTGAGTTCCACCCCGTGACGGTTCAACTGAGTAATTAGCGCGTGGCATGCTTTACATGTCCAGCGCAAATCCGCTCTAAACTTGTCCTGACACAGGGCTTCCTTCGGATCCGTTTCCTGGTTGCAGCGGCGGCACACCACCTTCTCTGCCACCGGCGACGGCTCGCTGCAGTCAGAATCAACGGTTGCAAGTGCGGCTTCGTCCGTAGACGCCGCACTTCCCGTCGAAACTTCCTTCTGCAGCTCCCCGTCCACTGCAGCCACATCAGGCGTCACAGTAGCCATTGTGTGCAGAGCGCTTTCAGACGCACTGAACTAGAGGCCAAAGTCGCTTTGAGACACGGAAAAGCTGCGGCAACAGCGTAAATCCACAAACACATAAAAACACATTTCTCATACACACGCGTTTCCTGCTCATGTATGGTATTAGTTGGGAAACACATGCGCGTTTCCTACCGTGTCTCTACCTTTTCCCTGGAAACACATGCGCGTTTCCTGTTTCTGATGGAAACATATACCGATTTCAAACTCAGCATGTAAACAGTGGAAACACATTCCTCATACATACGCGTTTCCATGTTACATGTTACACTTCTGCTTGTAAACACATACGCGTTTCCGTACTTTACTCTGTTTGGGGTAAAAACACATGTGTGTTTCCTATGTGTTTATGTTTGTTTGCCAAAAACACATGCGCGTTTCCCCTTTGGTTAAGTTTGTTTGCAAGAAACACACGCGCGTTTCCACCATTCCCCATCCCTTCAAGAGATATGTGCACCCCATCCTTTTTTCCGCAGATCCGCAGTTCTGTTGGCGATGTAGTCATCGCAGTCTGTACAAAAAGAAGGGGTTCCATGCCACAGCGCTCACATGCCACAGTTGCTTGCTGTTTCCATTGCTGTGCGGAGCAAGGAGCTGAACATTGCCACGCGGTTCTCTTGGTCGTTGGCTTTGGGATTTGCCGGAACCGCCGCCGATTGCTTCAGAACCGTGCGACTCTTCTCTGGCTTCTTCTCGCGAGGCTCCTCAGCTGCTGCCTGTGTGGCACTGGCTGCTGCAGATGTCTTCTGCGTCGGGTCCTTGGAGTCCTCTGGCGACGAAGCCTCGTCGTAGGTATAAGTATACTCAGAGGATCCGTGCGTCTCTTCACCCTGCTGGCGCTGCGACTCTTTGCGGCGCGCATCTTTCCCCTTGCTTCCCTGCGCAGCCGCAGGGCGGCTGGACTTTCGCACCTCTGCCGCGCGCACGCGGTGTTCCTTCTCAGTTTTCACACGCTGAGAGTCTGCTTTCTTTCCATCCCCGCTACGATCGCGCTTGCGACGACGCGCGCGACTGGTCTCTTCGTCCTGATCTCCCGTGTCCTTGCGCGACGACCGGCGCTTCCGATCCGGACTGCGTCGCTCACGACGATAGTCCTCTTCGTCGTAGCGCCTGTCCCCATGCTGGCGCTCACGACCAGAACTCTCAGCACGCAGCTTGGGCGGTGGACCCTTTGGCTCATTGGGCATCTCCTTCAATCGCACAGTCTGGCCAGAAGTCCACTTTTGCCACTCCTTCTGGATCTCATGGTCTGCAAGCTGGAAGCACTGCTCCATGGACCCATAGCCTCTGTTGTATAGGCGATGGGCGCGACAGTGCCGCGAATCCCAGTGTTGATCCCGCGACGTGCGATTGTCCTGTATGACTCTGTAGCACTCATGACATTCAAACGTCCCAGGCGTGCCAGCAGCGCGGCGATTGCGAACCGCTCCTCCACCAGCAGAGCGGGTTCGCACCGCACGCGCCTTGTCCTCGAAAGAATCCTTCCTCGTTTCTTTCTTCTCCGGCACCTCTTGCTTCCATTCGTCCCAGCGTCCTGGCTTCTCCCCTTCTGTGGCTTCTGGCGCAGCAGACGGCGCCTCCGACTTCTCAGCCTTCGAAGGCTTCTCGTCTCCTTCTTCCTTGCGGCTCGGACTGCGCTTTGCCGAGCGACTGCGAGACACGCTCGACGACGCCATGCTACCTGCAGCCGGGAACAAAGAAACAAAGTATATGGGATAGGCGGATGTATGGCAATGTATATTTTTTGGCATATATATAGATATACTTCCTGTATCTATAAATACATATTATATATATATATATATCGCACATATATATATAGTGATAAGGAAGCAAACGCAGCAACTGCAGCTTGGACTCGCTGGCCCGCAGGCGCAGCTTCGTAACTTGCCCGTAGGCGAAGCTTGCCGCAGCTGGCCCGCAGGCACAGCTTCGTAGCTTGCCCGTAGGCGAAGCTTCTCAGCTTGCCCGCAGGCGAAGCTTGCAGCAGCTGGCCCGCAGGCGCAGCTTCGTCGCTCGCCCGCAGGCGAAGCGTCTCAGCTTGCCCGCATAGGCGAAGCTAGCTGGCCCGCAGGCGCAGCCTCGTAGCTTGCCCGCAGGCGAAGCTTGGAGCAGCTGGCCCGCAGGCGCAGCTTCGTAGCTTGCCCGTAGGCGAAGCTTCTCAGCTTGCCCGCAGGCGAAGCTTGGAGCAGCTGGCCCGCAGGCGCAGCTTCGAACCGTCTCAGCTTGCCCGCAGGCGAAGCTAGCTGGCCGCTGGCCCGCAGGCGGAGCACGTTTACTTGTAACCCTTATTGGTATATCCCTTTACTCCTATATATAATCAAACCATATGCATTATATCCACCCCTGCAGCTCCGGCCTCGCGTCCTCAGTAGAAAGCCGCAAGGCAACACAGCGACCGAGCGGCTGATTTGAGCCAAAGGAACACAAGCATTCAACTCAACCTAAACCCCGTCCAAGTCAACAAGGTAGCAAACAGTTTCTGCAAGTTAACTTTAAATCCCCCATACCCCAAAAAAAAAGCACAACTTCTTCTCTGCGCCCATAACTGCGACCACATGAGAAACCTTTTCCCTCATCTTCGAGCGGCATCAAAAGTACGGATGCGTTCATGCACCGTCACCAATGCATTGCGACGTGATCAGCTATCATCTAGATCGCACAAGTATAAGTACATGCGCGCCAGATCGAGTGTCTCATCTGCAGCCTTTCTGTCAAGATCCGGATCCATCCGCAGAGCATCAGTTAAAGCAAGAAGCTTTTGATAAATTGGATAATCATTTATAAGTCGTTGAACTCTTCTGCGCACTCAACGCGTTCCTCTATCTCCTTCATGCATTCTGTCGCCGCAGCATGAACAGTGCGTCGCCAACCCTGGAGACATGGCTGTGGCTCTTTCCTCTCCGTCTTGTCAACGACAGGCATCACTTCCGGAGTCACTGGCGCGACTTCCGGTTCTTTTTCCTTCCACACTTCCTCCAAAGCTTTGCTATCGATTTCCACTCGCTGCGGACCACTGACAACCGCAATTGTACCGTCCTCACAGGTTGTCAAAGTGATTTCTTTCACTTCCATTGAGCTTGATGCAGCCATGCCGACAGAAAACGGGCAAAGCAAAAAAAACTTCACAGCAAAGCCAAAACACCTACCACATGAACCTATCAAGGCAAAAAAAGCCGCAGAACAACATGCACAACACGCACGAAGCAAAACAATTTCATATAATATATGGAGAAAGAGAATATAAGAAACATATCTTTAAATTTCTCAAAACGAACCTACGGAACAAGAAATTGAACTGCACCTTTTCCAAGCAGCATCCGCATCTCGAGGATCAAAACTTGGACGCTTTCGCCAACAGCGCTTGTCAAAAGTACAATTTAATCTGACTGAAGATGAACTCTATCAAGTCAACACTTCATAGCCTCGCTTCTTCCAGCACGAAGGACAACAGCCAGGCGTCTTACGGCAAGTGGCGCATCCATGTGGACGCTGCCTCATGCGCTGTGCTTTGGTCACTGTTTTCTGCACAGATGGCTTACTCCGAGGCATCTGTTTGGCAGATGGCTTCTTCATACAAACAACTTGAGGTGACGTCTCCTCAATCGAAACCGATGGTGAGCTCACAGCAGCCGCAGGCTTCTTCTTTGCGTTCGGCATGCCCGGCTTTGCAGCGGGGCGCTTCAAAACATTCGGGGGTCTACCACGCGGCTTCGGCGGCCGTGGCTCCATGTCCAAATCTTCTCGATAGTGCGCCTTAGCCAAATGAGCCACGGCAGAAGCAACTTGCGGAGGCGCTTGCTTCACCGCCTCTTGTTCCAGCACCGCATCAGCTCGTGGAGCCTCCCCATCGTCTTTCGCTGCTCTTGGCAACTCCTGAGCGTCTCGAATGCTGTCTCCCGTCACCAATGGCTGAGCAATGTCAGCGCGTGAGGCACTTGGCTGTCCATCCACATCCGCAACATTCCCCTGCTGCACTGCTTCAGGGCGCCCGTCCATAATCGCAAGCGGAGCTTGCGCTGGTGCGGGCATTGCAACCGAGGCCACAGATGCAGCTTCCATCTCATGCCGCTGCAACAAGTTCTGCAATTGACGAGGCTGTGATCCATTGCTTGGAACCAAACGATTCCCCGGGAAAATCTGCAAATTCGACAAACCTCCCTGAGTCTCAGCAACAGGCATGCGCAAGGCCGCGGATGCCACTAATGCAGCAGCTTCCACAAGCTGGTTGGACATTACTCCAGCAGCTCCTCCAAACTGCAAAGGCTGTTGCATCTGCCTCTGCAGTGCAACTGACCTATGAGTGTTGCGCAAAGGAATGCCTTTGGCATGTTGCAGCACCTCCGCGACATTCACTGTATCTGGCGGCGCCACAATAGCAACGCCAACTAAATGTTGGCGAACCACGGCCGGAAGTTCTGCGAAGGTCGAGGGCAACACCTCGACATGCAACCCACCTGGCACAGCCAAACCTTGCTGCGCAGCACGGCAAATCGTGGTCCGCAAAACTGTCTTCAAGGTTTGCAGAGAAGCAGACAAACGACTGGAATCCATCTCAGTGCGACAAATCAATGCGCACATGACTGCCATGGTCTGCTCTGAAGGGTTTCTCATACCTAAAACATTCACCAAGAATCTGCTCAGTCTCTCCATTCGATTCATTTGCAGCAACCCTGGAGTTTCTTCCAAATGCTTCCATATTTCTTGGGTCAAGAAGAATGGAAAATTGCGCCAATCTTGCATGTGCGCACGTCCTGGCACACTTTCAAGTGCCACAGCCATCGCAGCATAGAAAACCCAGCGACCAAAGCCAAAAAAAGGCTCCGAAATCAGAAACGAACTGGATGCTCAAAATGCAGACATGCAAAACCTAACTTTGCTAACTTCTTTATATCTTTTTTTCCGTTTATGTTATAAGAAAGTTATAACTTCCTATCTGACTTATAACTTCCACATGAGTTATGAAACTTATAACTCAAGTTACCCCCAATTATAACTTAAGTTATCCCTATTTATAACTTAAGTTATAACTTGGGGGCACCTTCCTGTAGGGACTGGTATAGTTTTGGGTGTATGATGTATGATATGTGAGGTATCCATTTCGTGTGAGGAATCCATTCCATTTGGTTTGGGCCAGGTGGGATGATCCAGACAGTGATGAGGAGGATGATGGTGCCAGCCTTGATTGGGCCAGTTTCGGGAGCTTTCTTTCTCAGCACGATCATCAGCAGCAGCAGCATCATCATCGTCATCATGATGATCATCGTCATCATCGTCATCATCATTTTATTGGTTCCTATTAATTCTTACATATTCTTACTATCATGACTTTATCATGACTCTTGATCTCGCGCGTATTCGTTTTGTTGTGTTGCAGCAGCTGCAGCATATTTTTTGTGCGGAAACAAAATCATATGCTATAATATGCTATACCTATCTCAACGACCCGACACATGTCCGATCCCAAACTTGCTGAGTGTGGGGAGTTGTGGGGGCTCACTCCTATAATCACCCAACCAAGTGCAGGTTTGATCCATGATCATGTTTCTGAGAAGATTTCCACCGAACTATATTATACATACTACATTATATAGTAATCATACATATATATATAATTATATCAACCAGCCATAATTGTTGTTGCATCTATCTTTGAATATGCGCTTGATTTTTTTCCGCCTGGCACTTTCGTTTTCACGACATGGTTTTTGTTGAAGGTCAAGAAGAGTTTCATCCGCAAACTGATCAAGGCCAGCCCGAAGTGCTGTGGCTGAATCCCTGGATACATTGAGGGTTTCATAGATGTCCTTTTCCCATTGGTTGGTTGATTCATAGAATAATAGAGGGGTTTGTTTATCAACAGGTACATGATTTACCAATAGGTACATTTATCATTGTTTGGTTTATTCAATATTTTTCCCATAATTTAACACCAGGTACATGATGATAGATGGGATTAACAACAGCTCCCGGCCCCTCTATTTTTACCCCTTTTGGACATTTCTAAGGTCGAATCCAAAACATCTGGGGATGGGTTGGAACATGTTGAAACCACCAGTAGACCTTAGTGTCCCTCAAAGGTTTTGAAACTAAACTGAGAAGGTCACAAGTCTGACAGGTAGAGGGAAATGTCAGGAATTGATAGGAATTAATGATTAATGAATAGTTTGATCATGGCACTTGTCAGTTTCTTGCTCAAGGCATTCAAGGACGAACATTGATTCTTACAGTAGGACTTTCACCGACTTTCACTGTAACCTGAAACCGCAAGCAGCAGTTGCAAGGCCTGAACAACAATGAGGACGAGGATAGCGAGGAGGACACAATCTCTTCTGACAACTGCCTGTTCCCTTACTATCGCCAGGTTTCCAACTTGTCTATCCATTGGGGTTGTTGTAAATATATGTGTATGGATCAATACCTATTAATACCATTTTTAGTGGGATGAACATCCATTTACCAGCTATTTTGATGTTCACCAGGGGTACAAGGTTTTGACCCACTGCCATATAGTAGCTGTGTATAGCTTTGTTCAGTCACCGAATTCAGGCCATCCCTTTTTGCATCGCACTAATTTGGTCCCATCCCGGGTCACCAATGGACAAAAAACTGATCACAACTTGGGTGAAATAACAACTGGTTGGTGGTTTGGAACAATTATATTTTTCCATACCCATAGGATCCATGTATGGTATATATGCTAACATTGGGGGTATATTGATGGTAAATGTTATCATATATACCATACATGGATCCTATGGGATTGGGAACAATAATCCCACTTGACTAATATTTTTCAGGGGGGTGGCTCAACCACCAACCAGACAAGTTAACAACTTAACACAGCCAAAAGGTCAGGGGATATGATAGGGTGGATTGCCACACAGATACCACCTGACCTCTGGGATGAGGAGATGTGCTTGCAACATTCCCTTCGGACTAAAGATCGTTTTTTTCGTTGTCAGCTAGCTAAAGTACCAAGAAACGGACCCCGTCCGTATCACCACTGCATAGTTCAAATATGTTCAAATTGTTGACCCGTTGAGATCGAACATGTGGACGGAAGTCAAAGGATCCAAGGATCTGAGGTGATACCCTCTGGTAAACAAACATAACTATGGAAAATCACCATTTTGAATCGGTAAATCCACTATAAATGGCCATGTTCAATAGCTATGTTAAATTACCAGAGGGTAAGCCTCGCCATGTCATAATCCCAACACGGCGTCCTGACTGAGAGAGCCTCGCCAGGACCTGAAGGGAAGCGACTCGGAGGGGGAGAAGGGGGACAGCTTGGCGAAGCTCGGTGGCTTGGAGGCCAGGATCATTTAGAGTGGGTATAGAAAGGTTACCCTCAGGTTATTGAACTGTTTGCTATATAGGAACATGGATGAAAATTGCCCCTATCTCTACATGATTTATATTGAATAATTCAATAGCTACTTGCTACTTTAAAAACAACATTTTCAATAGCTACTTTAAAGAACCGAAGAACCGGAGGGTATAATTCCCCGAAATCTGTTGGCAAATCCACCTTTGATACCCAGAAAAGTTGTTTAGACTAAAACACCAAAATCATATGCTCAGTTTGCAAAACTGTCGATCGTACCTTTCATACTGGTTGAGAACGGACTTCCCGCGATGGGTCAGTTCAATTTCCTGGAATTGTGGCAAACCAATGCAATATATGCAATTCAGTGAAAATAAATCGTGATTTACCAAACCAAGCATCTGGATTATTGAATCAACAGAACATAGATCCTTGAAATCTCTGTGCGTTTGAATCAACGTAGAAGACCCCTTGGCTGGTCATTATTCCGTCCGAAACACGCTGAACCAAGACCTTTACGGCAGGCATTCACCCGAAGGAAGCCAGCGAAGGAGCACGCTGAATCAACGCGGTTTGATTTGGCGGATTTGAGCCATTGAAGATACATAAAAAATACCTTTGTTGATGGGCTAATAATATTAATATTAGTGAATCAATGGTTATACTTAGTAATAATAACTGGCTTATTGAGGATTATTATTGCTGACCAACCAGTACAATGGGACGGGAGAGCGGGCTCCTTTTCATGGCTCATGGCTGCCCCCGTTGACAAGGTGGATCTTAAGACTGCTAGCACTGCTACCCGTTCTGAATTACTGTTTCCCCCGAGAATTTCACACTGGCTCTTCCAGGTTGTGTTTCGCAGTTCCATGAACCGAAAATCCTGGGACAGCGGGCGATTCTAATTGAAACTTTGCAGGAAAAGAGGAAGGAAGAATGTCTCTGGGATCCACTAGCAGATCTTGGGCCCAGAAAGAAACAGCCGCTTTCCTGCGTGGCAACTCTTTGGATAACTTTGGGGCCGCCAACCAAAGGAATTGAGGTAGGGAAACCACTGGAAATGACTCCAGGCTACTTGAGTTTGGGACCTACTCACTTCATGCTGCTGTTTATCAATGTATCCATGTTCCTTGTTTTTAATCTAAGTATTGTATGTGTTTTTGTTAGCTAGATATTAACGATATATATTGCGCTAACGGGTGGGAAAATACACACAACAGCCATCCCATAGAAAGATGATCCCTACAGGTTTTTATGGGGGCTCCAGTGATGTGTTGTTGGTTTATAACCTATAAAGCCCATAAAAGCTAAAGTCATTGATGTCATATCTAACATATATCTACCATAATTTCCGTGGTTATTTTTTTAGCCACTTTTCTAAGGCAACTGAACGCGAGCTTGAACGGGGGCCCTATCCTGTACTTGTATTGCAGAAACCATACCCCTTGGATCTCCTTTGTCCCCAGGGAAGTCCACGCGATCTTAGCATCGCTCAGGAAAGGGGGCGGGAACGCCCCCGTCGGTGCGAAGGCCAGTGTCCCCAACACGTCCGGGCGAGGCGAAGCGCGTGTTGCTTCACTGGCCATGTGCTTGAATCTACATACATACATACATACACGCACACACACATTGACATATATAATCATATATATATGGGTCAGATGGGGCCAACATGCAAGATGTAGATTTAACCAACAACAATACAGATTATATAAACATCATACTGAAGATAGGGATGTATCAAATTCTAAGACCGACGTTGGGGATTCAATTGTAACCAACAGCCGAAGGGATTTGAGGTGGGGATGGGGCTGGTTCAACATCGAGGACCACTATTCAGGCCGACAAATGGACTGGTTACTTGAAGTCGTTGTATTCATCATTTTCATTGAAGGTACTCGTATATGTTGAGAGCTGTGGCATGTTGTAGGACTGTATAGTCGGAGAATTCTGAAACATCATTTGGAACATCATTTGGAACATCATTTGGAACATCATAAGTATGTAGAGAGACCCCAACAAAAACCATTGGTGTCCCCGTGAAAAATCATGAATTTGGCATAACCCATAGGATCCATGTATGCTATATATGGTAACATTTACCATCAATATACCCCCAATGTTAGCATATATACCATACATGGATCCTATGGGTCATGATTTGCTTCCATCCAATCATTATCCCCAGGAAGGTCACTTTGACCATCTTTGGCCCGTAGGCCATGGACCAGCTGCTGGTTCTGTCGGGGCACTTGGAGATCTTGGGGATACCAAAATGAGAATCCCAACATTGGTAAACCACCATTGGTTGAATTACCATTTGGGTCCTCATTCTCCCATATTGTTCCCACACTATTACTTATATATGTATACCAATCAAATCCCATGAATTTCATGTTCATTCAATCTCCATTCAATCTCCGTTCAATCTCCGTTCAATCTCCATTCAGTTCCGATCAGGTGAATAATCCCATTCAATCTCCATTAAATCATATTAAATCCAATTCAATCTACATATCCAAGTACCTTCTTAGGAAGTGTTTGGGGTATAATTTACTATAATTTGCAGGGTTAAGTACCTTCTCAGACAGTGTTTGGATCCATTAAATCCAATTCAATCCCCATAGGATCCATGTATGCTATATATGGTAACATTTACCATCAATATACCCCCAATGTTAGCATATATACCATACATGGATCCTACGGGATCTACATGGAAATCTCCACGAAACCTGCCAAGGTCGTCATCCTCCAGGGCCTTTCCAAGGCGCCGCAGCTCAACGGCAGGACCGGCACCGTGGCGGCCTCCGTGGACGGCGCCACAGGCGGGGAAATGGATTCTGCGGATCCAAAAAGGGGGAAATGGGATCCAAATCTACAGTAAAATGATTTTTTAAAAAACCATTAATTAATGATTTTGGATCCCATTTAAAAGAGTTTGATCCATGGTTTTTACAAGATTAAAAATCTGTATCATTTAAGATCCATGTGGATCCCAAAATTCCTCTATGTTTAGAGATTTGTAGAGTTTTTGGGGTCCGGAAATCTTGAATTTCCGCACGAACATGGGGTAATGGCTAGCAATGTCATGTGTGTCGCAATGTGTGGCTGGCCTTGGCTGATCTGTTTACAGTAGCACTAAGATTTGATATAGAAAAATCAACAAACATATTCCGGTGGGTGGGTCAGAAAAATTGCCACAGTTGTACCCCGAGAATTGTTGTTGTTTTTCCCAAACTGTGGCTCCAAACAGCTCCTCCGTTGACTTTGAACGATTGCGCGCAGTTGGCGCACAGTGCGCCGCAGGTCGCTGTCAAGTTCTTCTGGCTGATAACTCCGTGAAAAGCCTGAAGGTGGAGAATCTTCGAGAGGCCGAAGCTATCGGTGCTAAGATGATTTCGAGACATCAATTATACATCAATATACATCAATACCATGATGATACCATTAGATTCTAGGATGGTCATAGTTATACCAGGTTATAGCACAGTGAATCACGGTGAGTGGCAGAATCATACTGTTTTGATCTGTTTTATAGCAGTTGCGGATGGAAATGACGAGTGGCATCAAGTGGCCTTCAAGACCCTGCGGTCTTATGCAGGTCTTGACGGGCGCAGTTGTCCGATTAAAAGGCGCCGAGATAGCGATAGCGATCATTGGGTCTGGTCATTTCCAGCATCATCGCCAGATCTCATCACTTTTTCCCATCATTTTTTGAGGTTAACCAAAAAAAACATGTCGAAGTTCGCCCAGTTTGACTGTCGATCTGTCGCAGTTGTTGCGTCTAAAAACGCCCCACTCCAGTTGTGTCTCATTGTGTCTCTAGGAATTTCAAAGACTTGCCCCCAATCTCTGATCTTCAGGATGTTTTGGTGGGATCTTGGATGTTTTTTTTGTTCATTCACCATCCACAGAAGCCTGGCATACAGAGATGCCGGGCTGCAGCTGGAGGCTTACAAGCCGCCCCTGAGCTGAACGGCAAGCTGGCAGAGTGTGGGGAGCTGGAACTGACCAGTCAAAGATATTCCGCCCGGCACACAGGGGATGACCCCCTTGGGTGACACTGGGATCGGATATTCTGCAGATTGACCTGTGATGGGTGGCGCAGCCCTTCTTTAAAACTTAGATTTACCATTCTTTGCTCACTTTTGAACAGTAGAATACCAGGTGATGATTTTGTTGCTGCATATTTCAGGACCCCGGATTCCCCAGATCGATCTGAGTGTCGCGCCTATGACTCGGCAAAGGTCACACTCGCAGATGGAAAGGAGACGATCAAGAAGGTGAAGGACTGCTAGGACTAGGGGATACTTAGGGGCAAGGCAAAGCCTGTCAAAGACCACAAGCAAAATGTGAAGATTGTGAAGCATGGGCTTTAAATGTGGTAATTAAGCAAGTTGTGTCATACTCTTGGGGGATCCCCTTATAGACTAAAATATGTCCCAAGCCCAGCATGAGTTAACTGGGGTGTACCTCCAGCCACCTGACCCAGATCGAAAGGGCCGTCAAGTGAGTAGATCATGCGACCAACAGATTTTGTCAATGTTTATCATGTTCAAGAATATAGTAGACAAAGGTAGAACCAGAACCCAAACAACTCCTATTTGGATTTTTAGTTCATCATCTTCTTAAGGTCCAAATATCTGAAATCCGTCAAAATCCGGATATTCGGTGGGTTCCAGCTACAGTTTACCCAACTTGTGACCCAGGTCGCCATATTTATTACGCCTTTCCAGGAGCCAAACTTGGAGGTCGTCGGCCGCTACCTGCAGTGGTCGACTTAGCATGCCGGGGAAGCGACCAAATCAGATTGTGAAAGACGGTCGTAGCAACCGGTTCTAGGCTTAAATTATAACCTAAACATGATATGAGTATATAATATGAGTCAAGTATTCCAAACATGTGAACTAGGTCACTGAACATCAGGTCACTTAAGTAGGTCAGGTTTTCCCGTCTCAACCGAGCCCCATGGCGTAACATAGACGTAACGACCACCTCGAGGCCCAAGAAATATCTGTCGATGGCAGAGAAGCCCTTCACGTGGAAGGTGGTCTTGCAGAAGGGTCCTTTGGCGACGGCTCCTGGATCTTGGGATTCCGGCCTGCAGAGGATGAGAACGTTTTTCTTCGATCTGTATAGATTTCTTCCCTGTAGGACACTGGATTCCTGTTTGTCCTAGATCCATTTGGTGGGAGCTACCTGGAATTTCTGGCGGGCGACCAGCATATCAGGCTGATGCTTTGAAACATGTACATTTATGTTAATGTGCATTCATGTTTGTCCCAAAGACATGCATACCTTATTGAGAGGGGTTGAAAAACACCAACCAGTCACAGATGAGATACGTTTAAGGTATAGGCGCCAGTATAGGTCTTTTCTGGAAGGCACATGCCGAGCCATGGACTCTGCGTCAGTCGCATCAGGGGTTCTACCCGCGGACCTTGCAAAATTAAAACACGTCGTACACCCCAGTTCTTTTCAGATGTTTCTGGGCGGAAAAACATCAACAAAAACATGGATTTCCCCATAGATTTCCCCATAGATTTCCCCATAGATTTCCCCATGTTCAGCATGGCTGAGGCAAAGACTTGGAACAGCAGAGCTGGTCGGCTCGGTTGAAGATCTTTGCTGAGTGTGGCCTACCACCTCCACGCTTCGTGGCAGGTAGTCAGCTGGTTCCTTGGTCGACTTGGCTGTTTGAAGGATGGAGGTGGATGAGCTCCAAAGAGCACATGGGAACAAAGGTGGAAGACTCGTTATACATCGTTATACCAACTATTGCATCTATATACCATCTATATCCCATCTATGTCCCATTCATGTACTATCCCATATTTCCCTATAAAATCCCATGGTTTTCCTTTGTTTCTCATGGTTGCCATGTTGATTCGTCCATGGTTTTCCCACGTTTCAGGTGGATCCAAAGACGATGATCTGCCCGGCCACCACTGCCGCGGACCAGCTCCCAGTGACGGACGCTGGGCGCTTGGCATGTCGCCTCCTGGAGACTCGGCCGGAAGCGGCCGGGGGGTTGCAGGTGAACTAATAGTGATTTATAGTGATTAATAGTGATTGATAGTGATTTATAACCTCTTGTAATAATGATTAATTAATAGTGTTTAATACCGATTTATAGTGATTACCCTTTGGTAAATTCACAGTTTGACCCTGAGGATAAGCAATCTTGAGTGGAAACCATAATCTTCCAGCCCCTATCTGGCAGGATCTATGTTAATTTACTGGATCATTTGGATGTACCAAAGGTTCACCAAGAATGATATGGATTTAACGGATTTAACCAACAAGAAATAGGGAGAACTACCTAACCTAGACGAACCACCAATGGTTTATGGCTGTTATTATTGCTGGTTAATGTGGTAAACCCAACAGTATATGGGATAATGATGGGATGATTATGGAGAATTATTGGATGATGATGGGATAATAGTAAATCATCTCATTCATCTCCAATAATACAATAGAATAATGGAGCTCTATCAACCCATGTATTTTCGTGTATGGGACAAGAATGGATAATTATGGGAGAACTATGATACACCATCCCCAATAGAAGTTTATGAACTTGGGTATACCAAAAAAAAAACCATTGGGATGATGTAGACTTGATGACCCCCATGGTTGGTGAGTTCGGGATGGTCCTACCCAAAATCCAAAAAAAAAAGCAGGGAACTGTCCAGCTAGCCATGTTTGATTACCAGAGAGTAATATGTTTGTCTTAAATCTACCTAGATTTTTGGTTGTCTGAAATAAACATGGCTACTTGGGAGTAGACGCATTTTCTAGACAAACCCAAATGTGACTAATTAATGATGGTTGCAAGCTGTAGATGTGACTGTGTTATTTTTGTTTTTGTTTTTTTTAATGTAGATATGTTGGTGATTCAATGAAACCACTAATCAGACAAGAAAGGATGGTACAGGGTTGCTTGAGACGGGCGTAAGGGTGCCCCACAAATGTCATCAAATGACCATGTAATCAACAATAGCAGGGATTGAAACATTGTTTTATTTTGTTGTTATGTTATTATCCTGTTATCTTTGCCATGTTGTCATATTGTTGCGCTGTTTTGTTGTCATGTTACCATGCTATCATGTTATTTTTTTTGTTGTTGTTGTCTAGCCCGTTATCGTTGGTCATATCCACACTCATCGCTGCTTTAGGCGGTTTCAACAGAGCGTGATTTGTGCATTCCTTCACCAACCAAAACAGAGGCCGGGGTGCAGCCTTGACGAGCCAACCCATGGGTATCTAAATGCCTTAGTAGCCATGGGGTGGGAGCTACAATTTGAGCTTCCCAAGCATATGGTTACTATAGTTGATAGGTTCCGTAAATTTCAAAGTCAAGTTCAGCTTGGGAGCATGTTTTGGTACACTTTGTTTTTGTTGGCGGAAGGTGCCGAACCTTTGTGATTCGCATTGCCAAATCTGGCCAACATTAGTCCGGTACCATCGTCATGCAGATGCCTACAAGGTGCCCTGCCCACTCATAAGTTGGTTTATACACCCCAGTACCATTAACATCCATCTATTAAATATATATATATTATAATATAGTATAATTACCTACCAAACACCCCATTTAGCCTAGTTATAAAGCAACTTAGCTATACTTAGCCAACAACCTGGGGCACCTGTAGATTGCACCACATGCCATTTTTGGCCCTGCTCTGCGGCCCTGCGTTTTCCCAGGAGATGCGGAGGCTACGGACCTTGGCCGAGGCGTTGCGACAACGAGATGCAGAGACCCAGAGCTATTTCTTGATCCCTGGCCTTTGCACCGAGGCGCCTGGGAATGGGAACGGGCGGCCGGAATGGGGGATTGCGACTTGTCGTGGCGACCATGTTTTCCGGATTTTTAACTCGCAAGCCTTGCAGGGGGGACAAAGGGTACCGCTAGATGTTTGAGAAATTGAAAGTGGACATACTAGTTCCAGGTTGCACGCTGTGTGGCTCCACATATTCGTAGATATTTGCTCGATAAGAGGCAATAAACAGCAATTACAACCAGCCGTTTTGTTTGCATCGTTGCATCCCCTATGCAGAAAGCAAATTTGAACCTCGTTGATAGCTCCATTTCACCCAATCAATGGAAACTCTCAATATTTGGAAATCCATGTTGATCTTGTGGAAAGACCTGGAAGTTTGACTGGAAACCATTGGAAACCTCTACAGTATGGTATCTCCAGGTGTTCATCCATCAAGTGAAGGCAAATGTCAAATCCATGAAAATTCCCATTCATCAACAGGGTATTGGTTGGATAGTTGGTGATCTCTCAAGTATCGGTTGGATAGTTGGATTGATATCCCCAATATTTAATTGATGAAAATCAGGACATTTACCAACCCCTCAAAACATCATTAACTCATTGAAATCTAATAAATCCTACGTTTCATAGTTTTAGACCTATGTGCCTATGATTGCCTATGTGTACCAAGACACTCAAAGTATCTCAAAGTAAAGTACCCATAAAAACCGGTGAAAGTACCAACACATTTATGTGACTTACCGTGGATTGCGATTAAGAGAAAATCTTATGGGGTCAATGGAGTGTCTAGATAGCTAATATCAGTTATAGTTATAAGATTAGAACCACTATCAAACCACTATCGAACCACTATCAAATCACTATTAGCCACCACTATTAACCACCACTGTGATTCATAGTACTTGTATGGAAATTAATTAGTAGTCACTATATTATACTGTATACATGGCATTAATAACCGACCAGTATAGTATACGATTCATAGTTCTAAGCACTACAATACAATTAATAACCATTGTTGAAGTGTATAGTACTATAGAATCAATAACTATGATTCAACAATTAATACAGTCATCAATATACAATATTACCCATAGGATCCATGTATGCTATATATGGTAACATTTACCATCAATATATCCCCAATGTTAGCATATATACCATACATGGATCCTACCCCAAATGTTAGCATATATGGGTATGGGTCAATACCTATAGATACATTTTTAGTGGGATGAACATCCATTTACCAGCTATTTTGGGGTTCACTAGGTACCAGGGTTTTGACCCATCACCATATACCATACACGGATCCTATGGGACATACAATATTATACAATATTAGAACCACCATTGTTGGCATCACTCACCACCGATTTTTCAACCCGCTGAATTGTTGCTGAGGTCCTGAGCTGCATGCGCTCCTCCGCCTCCTTAGCCTGGCTCCTCTACCTGCAGCTCTGCCAGGAACGGTCCTCCTCGGTCTTCGCAACGGGCATCGTTTTTCGGTGGGTTTTTATCAATGGCCATTTCAGGAACCTAAATTGGAGGTACCTACCATATATAAGGCCTATGTAAGGCCTATGTAAGAGAATATCCCCACAACATATGGCCTGAAATATGGTACAGTACCTCCATTTTAGGATCCTGAAATTCCCATTGGTTTTTAAGGATTGAACTTTGGGGGAATCCATGGGAAAATCGGATGGAAAACTCATCAAAACATGGATTGGATAGATTTGTGTCGATTTTGGGATGATTGGTATGTTTTGGTGAAAAACAACATGCAATGAATGACAACAAAGTGTGGTTCCAAATTCTGGATAGTAAGTTTTCTTTTGGGTCCGTGAACGTGCACAGACATCATGTCGGACACTGATTTCTGGAGCCGTTCATTGGGAAAACTTTGCACTGGTGCCGAAGACTGATGAGATGCGACCAACACCCGACCCAATCTTGGCTGTACCAAACAACATAAAGACAACACAAAGATGTGTTTTTTCACATCCGGACTTCTTGACATTTATTGTTTGCTTGACATGAGATGTCTGCAGTTCGAGGTGCCACAAGCACCAACCTCCCTTGCCTGCTCAGCAGGCGGTGGTATGTCTGGAGACTCCTCATCATGCTCACAAGGCCAGGTGAGTTGGCAGTGGCTACCACTACTTGGAAGTGATAAAAAAAAATAGCATGAAGCAAGCTCGGTCAACACCCATCAAGCCGAGGTCCTATAGTTAGACTTCATCTTAAGTTGGTTTCCTGTCATGAATCCAGCCAATTGATTGAAAAACGTATCTAGTATTTGATCAATGGGGAATCGGATGGGTCAAAAGTAAGTTAAAAGCTATGAATTTCATAGTGAACATAATTCATAGTAAGTTTCTTAGGTAGCTATGTAAGTCAACATTTTTTTGTTCGGACGACTAACATCAACTAACATAGTGAACTAGAGGGTGCCAGTTTTTTTCCACCTTGTCCAGGCTTGGAGCCGGCTGGAAGAGTTGGTGGCGACTCAGGCCGTAGATCACGGACTGGGATGGCTGCCTACTTCATCCATGGCTGCCATGACTCAGCAAAATTCCTCTCTGATTTCTTGTTCTGCCATCCATGACGTTATGATTTTCTCTGACTTTTCTGAGATCCATGGTGTTTTCAGATGTTTTCTAAAGCTTTTGGGCCGAAGAATGAGCGCCAGGTCCTGTCGCAGCCGGTCTATCTGCTGGGAGGTCTCCGTACTCGTACCAAGAGATGCTGTTGCCCTGTCCCATTCGACCCCACAGCTATCAGACTTTTGCTTCAACTGACGCTGTGAACAGGCTCCCTGGCGCTGAAGAACAAAGCTCCTGCAGAGAGAGTCTTCGCTGCATTTCAGTGTGCTTTCCTGCGTTCAATCGAGTCATTCAACGTCAAGGCAAGATCAGCATGATTGCTTTATTTTTCTCACCTTGAAGTAGAGTTTTTTGTAAACCTTCCCATCCATTTGAGGAAGATATTCTGCTTTCTCCTCATCTCAGTGCTTCAGGTTGTTATGGTTCCTGCTCCATGATTGAATCTATAATGTGGGTAAAACAATGCCATAAACCACCCATGACTGGGAATGGTAACTATACCACATATATATATATATATAAATGGTGATGACTGAGGGATGGTTTATGGCATTGTTTTACCCACATTAACGGAGATTATCATTAGGGCTCTTGTGTTCCTGCTATTTCCTGCATGTTCCTGCTACTCCATGATTGAATCACATTGAATCTATAAATATCTATAGTCTATACCCAGGACATATAGGTTTCTTCCTCCAAAACTCACAATTATAGCACCATCCTGGGACAATTTTCAGGCGATGGAAGTTGGTTGCTGAGCGATCGTGCAGAGGCTAAGTCTTGGTGATGGTGGATAGGTCTTGGGAAAACAGGGAGAAGTCACTTCGACTGCCATAGGTTAAATAGGTTGGTTGTGTGCTTTATGTTGGTAAAGAACATCTTGCTTTGGGACTTGAAAATTGGTGTCGATCAACACACCATAAAAAGCCCCTTTGCGCTCAATCAACCGTGTCTTACCCAAACAAAAACAAGGGTTAGTTCAACCACGTTCACCCCAACTTTCAACGTGTTTACCATTCTTTACCCATAGCAAACCCCACAAAGATATAGAAAAGTAATTTGTCACTATTATTTAGTTGGACATATTAATATGTTTCTATTTTTTTGTGGTTTACTTAATGTGTTTGTCCCCGTTAACGCCATAGCGGGTTCTGTTTGTGAATCCTACAGTCACCCTTTTTCCCACCTGCAGGAAGTGATAATTGGAGCGCCCAGCGACGGCCAAGCGCTGCCCGCTGAGCGCGGCTTGCTGGAGCTGATGTCATGCGCACTTCCGGGAGGCAGCCAGATTTTTTCTGGGTTTGTTTAGTCGGTGATTTGTTATTTTCCCAATGGAACATCCAGCATTGAAAAAAATATGAACAATCAGGATATATATATATATAGATATTCCATAGATATATAGAGATATATAGATATGTTTGATTTAAAAAATCTATAGTGATTTTTGTTTATTTTGGGGGACCCCTTAAGCAAATCCAAGGATCGGATTCCATGGTTTTGTCAACGTATGGGACAACCATTATATTTATTAATTGTATATATATATATGTACATTGGGGTTGACAAAACAGGTAAACATAGGGTAAATGGATTATATATAGATCAAATTAAATTATATGTCAATTTGATCCCTGACCTAGCATTTTGTTTGTTTAAATCTGAACATGTGGAGTGGAAACCAATGGTTTCGGAGTGAATTTGGCGACAATTTTTTAAGCAACAAAACAGGACTTGCGAATCAAGGATGCAAACGTATTTCTCATAGGATCCATGGTGCTGGTACATATGCTAACATGACTGGGGTATATTGATGGTGAATGTTACCATATATAGCATACATGGATCCTATGGGTTTTTAAGATCCGCAGTTCCGAAGGTTCGATTAGTCTGTACGCAGCTTCACGTCAGGTTTAGTGTGGGAACCGTCCGTCGTGGGGTCTCCCTTTTTGTGCCCAGCCATTTGGAAGATGCGCTGTTGGTTGGCGAACCACTTTTGGTTTGGTGATATCAAACATATTTTCTAGTGAAACAGTTGCTGCAGTTGGTCTTCCTCATTCTGAATCGTTTATTTGACAACTGCTCTCTGTTTGTTGAATGTCATGGTTGTTTATCCATATATATATATATATGTATATAAATTCATCTAGACTTGTCAGAAATTGGCGTATATGCCGAAATATGTCTTATATCTTCTCATGGTTTCTCCATGATGGTTTTTCCCCAATTCGTCCATAGTTTGTGAACAATGATGATATGTGGGGGGTCTTTAAACGAACAATTTATACCCAGTGGACGAAACTGATTAATCACATCATGGTTTCTTTTAATAAAATTTAACAATCAAAATAATTTTGTCCCCATCAGTTTATGTGAATCATGCAGTGTGTCCTCCTTCACCGACACTGGGCTACTGACTTTGTACAGTTTATGGTCAGTTTTTGGCAGCTGTGTTCCTCGGAGATCTTTGGTAGATTTCAGTGCTGGAGCAGGAGACCACTTCATGGTAAATTTAATGGGAACAAAACTGATTAACCAGTGGATTCCAGCAGGTGCACACAGTCCAGTTTCGATTATATAAATGTGAAAAAAAGATGGATGGTCATTCCCGCATTTCCAGAGGGCTTCAGAACACGACATGTATCTAAATCTATATCTCTATCTAATCTACCTATCTAATCTACCTATCTAATCTACCTCTCTAATCTACCTCTCTAATCTACCTATCTAATCTACCTATCTAATGTACCTCTCTAATCTACCTATCTAATCTACCTATCTAATCTACCTATCTAATCTACCTATCTAATCTACCTATCCAATCTACCTATCTAATCTACCTATCTAATCTACCTATTTAATCTACCTATCTAATCTACCTATCTAATCTACCTATCTACCTATCTACCTGTCTATCTATCTATCTGTCTGTCTGTTTGTCTGTCTGTCTGTCTGTCTAATCTATCTAGTCTAATCTAATCTAACCGAACCTAATCTAATATAATCTAATCTAATCTAATCTAATCTATCTATCTATCTATCTATCTATCTCTCTCTCTCTATATATGTATATATATATATATATACATACCTAGACCCTTCAAATACCAGCCAAAAGGTGGTTAAACAAATCCACAATCATGGTTAAAGCAGCATGTTTAAGGGTACAAACGGAGGGTGACATGAGGCTCGACCCCCATGCCCCATCGACGCCCCAGGCTGGCGAAGTGGTGCCACGGTCACCTGCTACCGGCTGTAGAAAACGATCGTTGCGCTGGTTGCGCTGGGTTGAACGGCTGAAACAATGGGGATTTGACCAGGAAAAAATGATGGTCGAACCAGGGAAAATATCTGCGGATTTCACATGATGACTGACTTTTTGACTGAAACCGGCTGGTTGATATGGGGTTTTACATGAACTTATCCATACTATCCAAGATTGAGGATCATCGCATGGGTCAAACCATGGGTGCCCTGTTCTCATTGGATCGAACGTGGGAATCTAACCATCCAAACATAGGAAAGCAAAGTGGTGAAGGGTAGCAAAATGCTGGGATTTACTAGCAGATGTAGAGAAATACAACGTGACTGCAAACCGCATCAAACCTCAATGCCTGAAAAGTACCAGCAAATCAACATTGGGTACTTAAGTACCAGCTGATCAACATCGGTAATTTTTGTTTTTGTTTTTTTATAATATATATGTATATATATATGTATATATATAGGTACCCCAAGTATATGCCGATATATAAACACCAATTTTCTGATTTGAACAGACACACATCTAGTCTCTTGAGTTGTGAGTTGTGAATCAGAACGATGTACCACCCAATGCATAGTGACTATGATCTCTGATTGTTTGTAATTAATTTGCGTGGTAATCACATGACATACCCCACTCTTGTGCATTGCCCATGGCTTATGCCATCCCCAAAACATCCAAGAGCTGAGTAAGAGTAAATCAAACATGGCTGGCTGGCTAGGGCCCATACTCCAAAAAGGTGACAATTCACTGGCTGCCAGGTTTAACTTGACCAACCTGCTTCCAAAGTGCCGACGGTTGATACGGCAGCAGTTGGGCAAGCAGAACTTGTTTGTGGCTTAGACATGTCCAGCATCTTTGGACTCTTTAGACTCTGTTACCCTCTGGTAAACTAACATAGCTATGGAAAATCACCATTTTTAATGGGAAAACTCACTATAAATGGCCATTTTCAATAGCTATGTTAGTTTACCAGAGGGTAGATCCACCTCAAACACAAGACGGCACACTCCAGGGCCAGAATTTGAAAAACCCTCCTATGGATCAAGGTCTCGAACGGTTACCTTTCAGTCTTAGAGTCTTACTGCAATCCTTTTCTAAAATAAGACAAACAAGCATTGGAATGTAGAAATTTGCAACATTGCACCACTTGGATGCTGTCGCAGTGTACCACTGAGGTACAGACCCAGCACCCTCAACCTGTTTGATACAAGGCACGTGGCTGGGGGCTGCGGCCTGCAAGCAGTTGTTTGTTGGTGGGTTCTGCAATTTTCAGGCAGATTAGTAATAGCGTTGGGCCTGTGAAATCTGCAAGCCAAAGAGCTCACCATGACCCCTGATTGTGGACGACTGAACCTGAGTTTTATGGGTCCACAGATGTCCGAACCCAAAACATGCGGCGCACGGATTATTTGGATTATTTGGGTTCCAGATGGTTCCAGCTATATTATAAAGAGTCCCCATAGCTACAGCTCCAGTTGGGGTGCAAATATTTTCGGTGGAAAAAAATATGGGATACTGTTTCTTCTGGTTCATGAACTCCAACATGGGTCTTCATTGTCGGGAGGATGTGCAGTTGTTGTCGTTGACAAGCCAAAATTACCATGAAGAATCATGGCTACTAGGAACCAGGGATGTGCAAGGCAGCATCTCAACATCCAGTGAATGATCAGGTCAAGCTCCGCAGTCGGTTGCCTCAGACGGACCCAGAGAAGTGAAAGTAGGCATGTTTACCAACCTGTTACCCCATATACAAGTTATTAATATAGCATGCATGTACGGAGCATTGCCAACATTTTGCCTTAAAATGGTCCAATGACATGGGTGACTTGGGAAAGACGGGGCTTAGATTCGAAATGTATATAAGTATCCACACCAACAGCTTTGGGCCCGTCCATATTGGAGTAGTCATACACAAATCCGGGCAATTGGTTTGGATTGGTTTGGCGCGCCATGTTCAACATTGTTGAACCATGTTTGGAGTTTGCTGTGCGTTAAACGCTCTTAGCCTTCTGCTGTTGCTGCTATGATTCTTCATCCCTTTCAGGCTCGCAGTGCCCTGCTTTTCCGCGGCGCAGGGCTCAGTCTTGTTTTTCTGCGATGACGATTTGGGCCATGGCTCCAAATCACGCCCCCCTCGACATAAAATGGATGGTTTCACTTGTCTCAGATTCTTACAGATCCTTAAAAAGAAAAACAAAAACTATAAATTATCTGACAGTATATATATATATATAAATTATCTGACAGTATCTGAGAATATTTCTGGATGGTTTCAGATCTTTTGGATCCTGAAACCTTTTTTCCAAGATCCATGGGACCCACACGCCATTTTTCGCCATCGGATGCCCAGCCTGAGGTTATCAGGAAGACGTGCCGAGCGACGAGCACGGGGGCAAAGATTTTGTTGATATGGATGTGGGTCAAAATGGAAGACCATCAATGGGACCACAGATGTGAATGTCTAGTTTAGTATTAACCATCCATAATTTTGGGGTACCTAATTTTGACCCATACCCATATGGCTGGAAGATGTTGGAAGAAACAGCATCAAATAGCAGAGCATTGCAGGACGTATCTTTGACCAAGAAGTTATCCAAAATTGCTGGTTGCAGAATTAGAAGCAACATGAGGTTTGGAACCATTGCCATTGTTTTTTTTGGGGTACACTATTTCCAGACAAACCCATTTGAGTGGTTCTCCCATTTTGCTTATCCACCAAGGAAAATGTGTCCATGGGTTGCACTTGGGTTTGCTAGTCATTCAGTTGTCGAGGTAATGCAGGGGGTTCGCCTTGATTTTGAGCATTTGCCATGCACCATAGCACGGTACTGGTACACTTTATTACACTTATTACACTTGCCACTCAAGTTATCATATCATTCTTGGTGGCTCATCCCACTTAGTTATGTTAGTCATTACCAGAGGGTACATCCCATTATCATCCCAAAAAAATCACCATTGTTAACCATTAAATCACCATTTTCCTATGGTAAACCATAGGGTTTTTACCCCATCCACGATCAAAACCAGGATGTTGATTTTGGCCCCAGGTCACCTGCCCCGGCTCCACCGGTTGCTTGTCAAATGCGTTGATTTCTCTATAAACCATATAACATAAAATCTAATATGTGATATAATATATTATGTATTATGTATTATATAAAAGTTCTATAATGAATTATCTCATATGTTATATTTTATATTACATACAATAGTATATATATATTGTATTAAATACTATGTATTATGTAATATATATATATATATCATATTATATCATCTATTATATAGTATATGATATATTATGTGTTTTATATCATATCTTATATTTTGTTTTCTATATTATATATATATATTAGATATTATGTATTATATAGTATATAATATATTAAATATATTATCTATACTCCTGATATACACAGATAATATGAGTTATTCGTGGTGATATCATCAAACATTGCCAGGTCGGACTCGCCGAGAATGTTTTCGGAACTCGTCCCCATAGGGATCATCAATAAGAACTGCTCTTAGCTGATAGTGATTATCTAATGATGGTTAGTAATAGATAATCATTAGATAATAATCATTAACCACCTGGGATTATGGGTGATTATGATGTTAATGATTAGCCCATCATTAGTAATATAGGATTATCTAATAAGAACTTGTTCTTAGCTAATATAATTATGGTTAATAGTGATTAATTAAATCATCTATGGTTAGGATTATCTAATGATGGTTAATATTGATTAATTATGTGGGGTGTTAATGGGTTAATAACCTGTTCATCTGGGTTAATCACTATTGATTATAATCACTAAGCCATGTTAATACTTAATAGTGATTACCTTCTGGTTATTTAACACAGCAAACTGGAAAATCCATGAAATAAATGGAGGTCTTGATGGGAAAATCATCTGTAAATGGACCATGGCTTCCATAGCTATGTTAAATAACCAGACGGTATATGGGTTGTTAATGGGTTAATTGATAATCTGTGATGTGCAGTGTTTGAGTATTCTGTAGTCTTGTGACTGTGACTAACTGTGACTTGTCCTCGAGCTATTCGTGTATTCGTGTCGGAACAGGCAAGTCCATCCATGTTTTGACAAATGGTTTCTGGGATGGACGGGGGATGGGATTATGTTTCTTGCTACCATGTAGTTGTGTTTTAAATGTGGAAAACCCACCATTCATGATCACGAATGTAGGAATCATGTTCCAAAAACCGAAAACCCCATGAAGTTCGAGAAAACCCATGGGTTTTCTATGGGTTTTCAATGGGTTTTCCACATCTCTTTCCAACGCTTTCCCCGGTAGTCTCAGGACTTCTCCCCCGGTGCTGGCGATGGCTGGGGCATCTTCTTCCTCCCCACAGGGCAAGCCCTGGTGTCCACATCTCAGCGGGAAATGTTTGGGAAAACCCATCGGAAAAACCATATAGGAACCTCAGGAACCTCTATATAATTCTATGAACCTCTATATAATATTATATAATTCATATGATATTATAATAAATAAATATATATATATCTATTGAAGGTGATGGTTATTTTTGTTGCACTTTCCCCGGGAAATCCAGAAACGGCTGGCGCCAAGCCGAGGCTAGATGATGTGGCCTACCGGGAAACGCTGCCTGGTCTGATTGAAAAACATGGTGGAACAATTCTCAGTTTATCAGTGTTTATTGGTTGAAAATGGTGGACAAACTTCAATTTTATCAATGGTTGTTGATGTTTATCAATGCTTCTTGGTTGAAAAATGAGCGGAAACACACCCACATTGGATGGTTTATCAATGTTTATATAATGTTCATCAACGTTTATTGGCCCATGAACCGCATTTTACCTTAAATTGGATGGTTGGTCAATGTTGATCCTCATTTTTCGATGTTCTCGTGTTGAAATGGCCCATGAACATCCATGAAATTGGGGGGGATCCCCCTGTGTTCATGACGTCTGACTGCCGTTGTCGCAAGGTTGGCACGCGGGACGCTACTGGACCTTCAGGCACCGTTTTTGTTCAGCCAATGAGTTTTTTAGCCGCTGGGTATGTTCCCCTAGTGACAACCAGCAGTCGCACCATGAAATTCGACCATTTGGATTTGATTTATAGGATGCAAATTAAATCCTGTAAGTTGATGTTGCTTTCCAATGTTCAAAATGATACCACTGGTTGGTGGTTTGGAACATGAATTTTATTTTTCCATATATTGGGAATTGGGAATAATAAATAATCCCAACTGACGAACTCATATTTTTCAGAGGGGTAGGTATACCACCAACCAGTACCAAGATTTGGAGATAATGCCGTGGATGCTGTACTCTAGATCCCAGCCGGACTGGGTGACCACAAGTGCAATATGTTTCTCCTGAGTGTTCTCTGAAGTTCTCGTCAAGTTGCGCCGACAGTTTTCTCACACGTGCCGCAACGTGTTATAGTTTCGTACAGCTTCTATAGTTCCTGCAACAATCAGCTCACCAAAGAAACCCTTTTGTTTCTTCCATTCGCCTCCAAAATGGAAACGCCAAAATCATGTCAATTAATTTAATTACAAGAGCTATGTGACTTCTGACTTCTGCCCAACTGTGACTTAAACCCTCCTAGTACAAGAGATTTATCGAGATTTCGAGGTGAAACAAATGGGGCAACCTTCGAAATTTCTTTGGATAACAATTGAAATAAGTTGAGATGTTCAATCAATTTCCCGGCAAATCTCAATTGATCTCAATAAAAAAAGGTAAAGTCCCAATTGTCCAATGGAAAATGTCCCGGTAAATCCCAGACGTTGCTTGGGATTGTTGATCTGTAGGATATTGAAGCTCCTATCAAAGACGAGGATGCGACAATCTTGGAGGCGGACATGGTCCATGATGAACATGAATGGCCGTCCAGTAATGGTGCTTAATCAATAGAGAGAACCCTGTTGCTATATACATATATATATATACATATGTGATATATATATAATATATATATATATATATACATATGTGATATATATATATATACAAATAATATATACATACAAACATAGAAACACACACACACGCATATATGGCTATATAGCATGTGTGTGTGTGTGTTTCTATGTTTGTATGTACATATTCAACTTGTCTGTGAGCTATGGTATTTTTTTCTTCGACTGTTTGTCCCACTTGTTTGGACACACTCGACTGATGTCTCAGGACCATATGCGTCAAATGCTGGCCGACAAGGACTGATCATGAAGAGGTTGGCAAGGGAAGAATATCAATATGTCTTACTCATGTTTCCTAGATTCGACTATCATGGTATACTGTCTTATATTGACACATAATATATGATCATATTATATAATGTTGTCCGGGTTTAAACTCCGTACCATTCCTCATATGTCAACTTGTCAACTTGTCTTGTCATTTAAATTCCTCCAAGCCGGGTGAAGCAAGATCAGTCCGAGCGCGCAGGAGAGCTGTGATGTTACATTAGCAGTTTCCTCAGCCTGCCCGGTGACAAAAAGCCATGTCTCCGATGGTCCAGTATCGCTATAGATGTTTACCATCCGGAAGGGTTGATTTACACCAGAATCCATGGGATGGGGATGATAGGGACGTGCAACGAAATCTTGCTCCTGTGTCCACTACAGGACCGATATAAAATATGGTCAGCTCGACCTAAGGGCGAAAGAGTGGTTGCGGGAAAGCATCCCAAAATGGCTCTCTTGTTTCCTGTACCCATAGGATCCATGTATGCTATATATGGTAACATTCACCATCAATATACCCCAAATGTTACCATACATGGATCCTATGGGGTAGAGTCAAGCTCTGTGTCCCAGGTTGCGGGCCTTGAATCTGATGAAGTGGCGGCACACAAGTGTGTCTTGGCGAGCCGTCGGGAACCCAGGGGTTGCCATCTGGGACCATGGTGACCATGGATTGATCTCTGAAGATTGGAGGCTTCTCTCGCAAAAATGCTGTTGAAACCGGGGCAGCCGGGCAGCAAAGGAGTTTGAACCACCATGGGTCATTAAATGTCCCCATTTTTCACATCACCCAACCATGATCGGTATATGGTCTATAATGATCTATAATGGCTACTATAAGGTGATGTCCAATATACCCAAAATGGGACAGTTACCAACCCCTGACCACTCATTTGCATGGCTACTAAAACTCACCAGTTTCTTGTGATGAAGTTCTGAGCTCTCTATCCAGTCAGTCCATATCCGCTGAATACTGAACTTCCAATAACGCAGTGGGCTATAGCAGACCTCAACCCAGCGCTACCAGGTTCATCCTACTTCCGGGCATTGTTTTCATCCGAGTTTCGAGAGTCCGCAGCCCTGGGAATGGAGCAACGGGGATCACGTTGATGAATGCATCCAATAATGACCAGATTTGTCACACCTGTGTAAGAAGGCGAAAACACAGGACTCTTGTAGAACTTATATTTTTAAGATTCGCTCTGTTTTGGGGGAGCATTGAATTATTCTTCACGGGCAAAACAAGTTTCATCAGAAGGTACTTGGCAACATAATGATCTTAATGGGGGGAACCCGTTTATTATTCTTTGGTCAAACCATGGCATGGTTTCCTGCAAATATATGCACATATTCCCTTCAACCAAGCCAGTAAGCTGAAGGCGAAGCGAGGGCAGAGTTCTTCTCGAGGAGCTGGGGAGGGATTGGGATCCTTCACCTCTGGTCCTACTGGCATTTTTTTTCTAAAAATTGTCCAAGATTATTCAATTTGCCAATGACATACGTGTGTGTTATCATGCCCTGTTTACCCTTGATACCTTAAGTAAGCGTGTTGTGGTCACTGTTGCCCTTGGAGATTGCCCGAAAATCGCAGGACATCACCTTTGAACAGCTCATCTTGTTGCTGAACTTCATCTATGCAGACGCATGGGGGCCCCAGCTCGTAGATGAGAAACTGAAGAAGGATAGAAACGGACCAACAAAATCCTAAGAATATATTATATATATATATATAATTTATAATTTACATTTGTTTCAGATTCTGTTGAGCACGATTCTTGACTAGTTCATATATTATTTTCCTGGTTGCTGGAAATATGTTGTTCTGTTCCGAGTTGCAGGGCTCGCGAGTCTTTTTTACACCCCAAGAATTCCCGGACCTGGAGCAGATCTCCCTGGATCAAGGATTGGTTAGCAGAAGATGCGGACTTTGCGTTGGATATGATTCCCATTGCGGATCGGTTTTCAGCGCAGACCTCGGTGGGTGTCCACGAAGGAACCACGCGTTTTCAGCGCGGATTTTTTTACAAATGTGGCTGAAGTGTTTCCACTTGGTTTTAAGACTTCTGCGTTGTTTCCAAGTGATAGCCCAAAACTGGTCAAATTGAATACCGTGTATATAGGAGTATATGTATATATATATATAGGTTTTCATTTATTTACCACATTATGAATCTTAGATCCACGGCAACATGGACGGCGTTTCCTTCCAAGAGATAGGCTCCATAGCAATACTCTATAGACTCTATATAATATATATATGTATATATATATTATACAAATATGAATATATAGTCTATATAGTAATTGAACCTGTCATTGATATAACCATAAACCCAACAGCCAATAACTTAGCTGGTTCACTATGCACCGACTTCGATTAGCTGGGGCACCTGGCGTTCGCTTAGAACCGACGCTTGGAGGTTCTGGATTTGAAACGCCTCTGTGAACGGACGCTGATTGGTGTTCGGTGCTCAGAAGCTGGTTGGGTGAATGCCTTTGACCCAAGGGACGCAAGATTCAAGCCAAGCAAAAGTCGAAAATGATATCAAGATTGAAGAACATCTAATATATCTTTGGGATATATTGAACATGAATAGTTACATATATATATATATATATCATATATATATGCATACACATATATATATAGATATATATATATATTCAATTTCCAACTTTTGGTTGGAACATGAACGCCGTAGTGCAACTTGAGATATCAAGCATGAAAAGCATGAGGATTTTGGGAAAAAAGTGGTGATATATTATAGAGTTCAATCATATTCAATCATGTTGGAGCGAAGTGTCACCTTGGCCGAGAGCGCCGAGAGCCCGAAAATGCTGTTGGTTTTTAGATCCCACTGCCGGATGCACATCCGCCAGTCGAATCGCAAACGCCCAGCTGATAAGGATGTGTTCCTATTGAACATGGAGGATTTTCACTTCAAAGTTGAATTATGGGTAAACTATTGGAGGAGTTCACTAGTCAAACATGTTCAAGCCATGATTCTTTCAACGTTTATCCTTCAAGAGTCAGCGTGTAGAAAGTGGGCCCAGCCTCGCAGTGCGTGAGCAGCCGAGCCGTTTCGCCTCGCCTCGAGGCCATGTCAGTGGACAATGTGGCACGAGTCTTTGCGCTCGCCGACAAGTATTCTTGCAACAGGCACTGGATGAGTGTGATATCCCATGACGGATCCTAACGGTGCTGCTATATATTAGGTGTGCCATGGATCCCATCAATATACTGTATCCCCTTTATGTTAGCATATATACCAGCACCATGGATCCGTCATGGGTATGATGTCCCTCTTTGTAGGTGATACAACAGGTGTACACAGGTCGAAGAGGGTCGAAGGCTCCAAGGCTCGTCCTCTTTTGTGCCACCCTTTGGATCCCTTTGGTACTTTAACATCAACTGCTAGTTTTTGTAGGTAAAATATATGGTAAAATTTCATAAAACGAAAAAAAAGGGCACTAAATGGGCCAGTTTCCATGTCATCACGGGAGCTTGCGCTTGCTCCGCTGCGCTGGGGATGGGCCTGAAGCAGGCTGCGAAGTAGGGCCTTGTTGTTTATGACCGACTCCGCCAATTTCCACCTGGCAGATGCCTCAGCGGTAGGGCCTTGGGCCTTGAGAGAATGATATCATGGGAGGACAGGTGGCATCTCAACCAATAGGAATTCGGAAAACCATAGGAAAACCATCTATAAATGGGATCTCAACCTCAGTTTATCCCGAATCATTGATAGATCTTGATAGTAGTGGTAAGTTCCTTGCCAAGGCATTTTGAGAAAAGATCCAGCCCAAAGCGAGGAAAGCACCGAAAGCACTGCCCTGCTGAGCTGCTGGTTGTGAAATGCTGCAAAGGTCATGAAGACTGCCAGTTTTGCAGAGCTTGACAAGGCCAGACACCGACACCGTGGCATCAGTGGTGAGTTGACTTAAATGGAGATGTTTTTTTTGCGGGGACTGCACCTGGCTAACTTGGGGTACAATTCAAAAGTATCTCCAACATATCCCACTGGTTGGTGGTTTGGAACATGTTTTATTTTCCATTTCATATATGGGATGTCATCCCAACCCCATTGACTTACTCATATTTTTCAGAGGGGTGGCTCAACCACCAACCAGTCCAAGTTGAGTAGATGATCATTCGGAGCATCGTCGCGCAAGAACTTCACCGCAGGGTGAAGGTTTAGCCACGAGGTTTTGCCACCAGTCGTTTTGGGAAAGGTTAGACTGGTTGGTGGTTTGGAACATGAATTTTATGACTTTCCATATATTGGGAACAATAATCCTAACTGACTTTCATATTTTTCAGAGGGGTATAGGTATACCACCAACCAGTAGAATGATGAATGAGCGTTTAGATTGGTTTGTTGAGATGGGAAAGCCCCGATACTTTCAGAATAAGGCATGTTTGGCCCACTGCTCAGGTAAAAAAAATGTTATTTGTTATGATATGTGGATGGATCAACAATTATTGTACAATGCTGGGGCTTATAAAACACCAACATTCACATCACTGGGGAGCCTCATATTGTACCATAGTTTGTGTGGGGATGAACATCCTTTGATGGCGCCATGTTTTTTGAGGCGCTGATCCTCCAGATTCTGCATAGTCACAAGACAGCTCCTGCGTTGGAAGCTCAATGGCGAGCCGTACCCTCCAGCAGTACGTAACATTACCTCAATGGCCATTTCAGGAACCTAAATTGGAGGTACCTACCATATATAAGGCCTATGTAAGGCCCAAATTTCAGGGAATATCCCCACAAAATATGGCCTTATATGGTACAGTACCTCCATTTTAGGATCCTGGATTTCCCATTGATTACCATAGATGTGGAGTTTATCCACCATGAATGTAGATCATGTCACTTTCCGAATAGGGTACCACAAAATTCTGGGTAACTTAACCACATCTACATGAAAGATTACCCCAAAAATCAAAAGTAGTTTCTGCACATGCCTACTTTGTTATGTCTTGTTCCTTTCAGAATCGATGTATGTTTTATGTAACTAAAACATATTAAAACGTTGTTTTTGTTTTTGCGGCCAAATTGGGTTGTCTCGAACTGAGGGAACACCACAATTTGGGAAGGGTGTTGGAACGACCAGACTACATAGATTTATAGAAATCATATGAACACCCTACCAAGACACTCAATTTGTAGCCATTATTTGGATGAGTGTAGCAGCAAATCGTTGTGTAAGCTATGGTTTACCATACCAATTTGCATGGGGAACCATGGAGTGTCTATGTATCAAATAATAGAATAATCTACATATTTGGGATTAATTAATACTTGTATAGACAAAAACACACTTTGTATTCGTGTATGTCTGTATTTTTTTGCATGAAGGAATATTAGCTGCAATAATGGTGAAGTTACGTGATCAAAGCTTGGATATAACACATATACGTATATACGTATGTATATATATATATGCGTATATACTGTGTGTATATATATATATATAGAATGGCTCGAAAATGTGGAGGTCTTTGGGCGCAACAAAGAGCTGTATGCTACGTAGGCTTTTTGTGAGTGCTTTTTGCCAACCCTTTGAGAGATCGGATCCTTACCGTCTCAATTCCTGCAACAGTTGGGAACTTACCATACGAAACCCATAGGAAAACCATAGGAAAATGGTGGTTTAATGGGATTTAATGGGATTTAATGGGATATAACCTCTGCTAAACTGCTACATAACTATGGAAAATCACCACGTTTTGATTGGTAAATCAACCATAAATGGCCATGTTCAATGGCTATGTTAGTTTACCAGAGGGTATACCTAGACACTCCAAATGCCCTTCAGAAATGGTGAAGTACTAAAACTGTGGGCCGCCCTGTGGGCCATACACACCATACCAGATGAACATAGAGGATGCAAGGATACCATCAATGATAATCTGGCGACAAGAAAATGAGGATGGAACTAACAAGGACATGGGCGAGTTCCAACACAAAGCAAGAACTACGTGGGGCGTCCATAAACTTATTTCTAATTTTCTATTTTCATGTTTTATTATTATTCATGAGTATTGTTTCAAAGATGTTATATGATGTTGATCGTATATGATCTTATTGGCTAATTGCATACTAGTCACAATAAGAATCAACTCACAATACACGTTATTATATGTGTTATATATATATGATTAACATATTACTGGAGATTATTAATCATTGGATATGTTTGTTATAGGTTATTACAAATAATAGTCACGGGAAATTACTCATCCCTGTCACTGTTATTGTTACAATAAGAATCAACGTGTTTCTATTTGATCTTCAGTATTATCATCATGGATAATTGTGTAATGCATCTTTTAAAGATCATCCAGCATTGTTCATCTATATATGTATATCCATTCTATTATTCAATGGCCACTTCAGGAACCTAAATTGGGGGTGCCTACCATATGTAAGGTCTATCTATATGGGTATATAATTTGCCATTTCTATGGCTTTCTATGGTACAATTTGATTCAATACCTGCATTTTAGGATCCTGGAATTCCCATTGACTTATCTATAATACCATCATTATCCAGTAATGCGTGTAAGCAAATGCCATAAACCATCCCCCAAATCACAATAAATGTTTAGATGGTATGGTTACCATTCCCCGTCATGGGTGGTTTATGGAATTGTTTTACCCAAATTGTGGTGGATGTATCTGCATATATCTATTGTTAATGATTGTATATAGTAGATTGATATGGTTAATCAATATAGACATAGATATTATATCACTAATCAAATATATATATATATGTCTGTATGGATACTTGGTTATCTATTGTTAATCAAAATAGACTAATGTGGGTAAAGCAATAATAGACCACCCATGACTGGGAATAGTAACCATACCATCTATTTCTGGCGATTTGGGGGATGGCTTACTATTGTTTTACCCCCATTACCCACCAGTAGTTTTTACAAATTATCCATCCGCCCATCCGTATTCAAAAAAAAAGGGTGGACAATGGTAAGTTGTACTAAGGCTTTTTACTATTTGGGGGATGCGAATTTATGGTGATTTGGGGATTACCCTCTGGTAAATGTTTACACAACTATGGAAAAGCACCATGCTATTAATGGGTAGTCATCAACTATTTCTATGGCCATGTTCAAGTTCGCAAACTGTTGGTCATTACCAGGCCGGGTAATCATAATTTCATCCCAATTTTGAGTGGTTAATCCCACATTTTATGGTGATTTGGAGATGATCCACCCTTTTTTAATCCCAAATTAAAAACATGGTGATTTTGAGTGGATAATCCCATTTTAATCCCAATTTTGAGTGGAGATGATCCATCCATGTTTTTTTTTTCGAATGTCACTACAGCCACAGTTTTTCGGGTTCCCGCGTTCGCTAAGGCCTGCGCCTCCACCCTCCGAGCCGCTTCCGGGCAACTCGGCCACCAATTCCAAGGCCGCTGGGGTGGCGTTTGGGAGGAGATGGTCCAAGAAAAATGGTGGATTTCACCCAAGAAAACTGGTGGATTTCAGCACTTTCACCGAGAAACATGGTGGATTTAACATTGGCGATATATGACTTATATGACAATTATTGGAATCAATCTGATATATGACACGGTCACCACATCAACCATATCAATCCAATAAAACCAATTTCACCACAGTCACCATCGGGATTTCCCCAGAGAACCTCAGAGATTTCACCTTCCGCCAGGCTGGCCAGAGCAAGCCTGTGGGCCCAGCGATGCTTTGTGGAGGGGTGAATGGTCAGAATCAGAAGTATATCCAATTATTCCCATATATGGTTACTATAGTGATTAATTAACTGTTATATCCGACATATGATGATATCCAATGATTAATTATACGGTAAACTGTTTCCCAACAGTTACTATGGTGATTAACAATCGATATATGGGTATGGATCAATACCTATTAATACAATTTTAGTGGGATGAACATCCATTTACCAGCTATTTTGATGTTCACCAGAGGTACAAGGTTTTGACAAACTGCCATATATATAATATATATATATAGTAACTATGGTTTGTGAGGTCGTAAGGAAGTCAGTGAGATTTTTCCCAAAAAATGTTTGTTTTAGCTTCGGCCTCGCCCCGTTGGGGCCCCGAAACATGAAGTCATTTGCCATGCCTACGCTGAAAGTCGCCACACAAATAGTGCAGGGATATTTCAACTGGGACAAACCTACCAACCAAATTGGTATTTTCAATTGGGTGTATGATTAAAACATGTTTTTGAACATGTGTTATAGATCTTATTTCCATCCGGTAAATTTAACAGTTTGCTATGGAAAATTACCAATGAACATAGATGATTTACTTATCAATAGCACAGTGATTTTCCATAGAAAACTGCAACACATAGCAATTTTGGTTAGACATGTCATGTTTCATCATTTCACCACTTCAAGAATGTAGTCAATATATAGATAGTTGATCATATTTCTGGACAATTTAAAACGACGTCACCGACGTCACCCCGAAATAACGACCTAGCTTCAGAAATAAGCTCATAACCATACAAGATCCTAGTTTTCCATAATAGGAAACTGAGGTTTTCAGCGTGTTCAGAAGCAAGTTCCCCTATTTTTCTAGCTTTTCCGTGGGCAGCTACGGCTGGAAAAATCATTTCATCATTTCATCCCAATTGCACGCAGGATGAAATGATATCATCTCTCTATATTACCTACCTGTTTCCCATATGCCATCCTGAACAAGGTTATTTCCTACACTTTCCTACATCTATGAATGACTGTGATAGGACAACAAAAACATGTTTTTCAGATGTTCCCTTAAATCATCCCAATGACAAATATAGTTATCCCAGTATTTACAAGAGTATAATAGTCCCAATGAAAACATCAGATTTAATCATCATAATACTAATCCCAATGCTATTATCATCAAAAAAACATAAACATCCCAATATCACAAACATATCATCATCCCAACATTCAGAAAAACAAAACTGAATCCCGATTTTTCCCTTAGATCCCAGTAAATATTTAGAAGAGTATGATAATCCCAATGGAACATCAGATTTAGTCATCAGAATACTATGCCAATTATTGTATAAACATCAGAAAACATCTAAAAACAAACCAAAAATATCTTAGGTACCTACCTTCCCGGGGGGTTATTAATCCTAACTTGTCATGAAACCCAATGAATACCATGGTAAAAATCATAAATATCATCCAATTATCCAATTATCATTCAAAAATTCCCAATATAATTTGATCATCCAATACATATCCCAAGAGTGTGATAATCCCAATATCATCCAATTATACCCAATTATCATTGAAAATTCCCAATAATCCAATACATATCCCATTTATCATTGATAATCCCAATGTGTCCATGAATCTTCCCTTCAATGGATTGGTTTAAGGGAAAATTGAAACCGGAAAACCACTTTTATTTAGTGGGAAAATCGATGGTTTCCGGTTAAGATTTTCCCTTAAACCAATCCATGGATCCCTTCATCCCATTCTTCCCAGGATGCGCGACCATCGCCACCGTGGCGGCAGTGCGGGCGCCGGGACTGCGCGCCCGCCCGGCGCCAATGCGGCGGGATTGCGTGGAGGCCGGAGATGGGGAGAAATCGGGGCGTGTGAACCACTACCTTCTGGAAGTTATAGGTAAAACATAGGTAATTCATAGGTAAATCATAGGTAAATCATAGGTAAAACAGAGGTCAACCATCATAAAATCAACTTAATTTAAGGCGGTCCAACATGTTTAAACCAGCAAGAAGGCGTAGAATGGGGTTCTAAATGGGGATTCAACATGTGGTTAAAACATGGTCATACATGGGTATGTTGAAACATACAATCATTTGGTGGATATAAAATGATTTAATAAATGTAATTGAATATATATATATATATATTAATAATGGGGAATCTGGTGAATATGGGGGAATTTATAGCGACCCCCAGTGATGGTACTCTATTCCCCCAAGGCTCCCATACTACTCCCATAAGAAAGGCCCAACATGATGGGAAACTTATGGGAATAGGGTACCATCGTTGGGGGTCCCTATAGAGTCCACGAATAATATCGGGAACATGTGGATAAAATGGAAGAATAATGGAATAATAAGTCATTGGGGGAGCCCATACGTTCTCATCCAGTGATTTGAGGCCGCTTGCAACTTGCAAAGAATCAGATTTGAATCAGCAAGAAAGCAAATTCGGAGAAAAAAACGACACATACATGAACCTGGGTAAATTATAACGACCTCACTACGACCTCACTGGAAATCATGATTAGTAAGGGGAATCATCCCCAAATGGCCTTAATTCAGATTAGTGAATTATTATAATTTGCCCAGATGAACATGTTCACTTTGCGCATCATTAGGCAGAACATGTGGGATCTAATCCGCGGATTCTTGTCATCATCATCTACCAAGGAAATAGTCTCCTGTAGTACAAGATGGCTCTCCCCAGTTTTGTTTGTTGGCTTTAATTTACCCCATTAACCACAATCAATCAACAAAATGGAGTGACCTTAGTTAAGGGGTTAAACTATTATAAACGCCAGTTTTGTTTGTTTGATTAATTTATAATGACCATATAATGACCATATAATGACCATATAATGACCATATATTATAATGACCATATAATGACCATATAATGACCATATAATGACCATATAATGACCATATAATGACCATAAACCCTAGTGAAATTGAGGTTAAAATCTCCAACTTCGCTAAAGTTTGGGGGCCCCATCTTGATCAATTGCACAACTTGACCTGAGAGGGTGACCTTGGAACACAACTCGGTAGCATACACTGCTGCAGTTGTGCATTCACTGGTGAAAAGTGGGAGTTCAAAAAAGTCAACATGATCCCAACAAAATCAGAACAAATCAGAAAAGCTAGATGCAGCTAGATATATATGTAATATATATATATATATATCATATATTTATATTATAGAACATATAACAGATTCAAAAACAACAATTTTGTCTATTACATACTATGGGACCGATCCCTGAAACCAAGCCAGCCCAGGATCTCTCAGTCTTGAGGGGTTGTTCCCCAGTGACCACATCGTAAACTTAGCCTTTTGTGTAATTCGTCATTTCTTTGAAACACTGACTTCATTAACCAACTAACCGTAACTAACCTCAGGTTAACCAACTAACGAGCTCCCAAGGCAGTTTATCAGTAGCTAACCTCAGGACCATCCCAGGATCATCCAGCCAGGCAGTAGCAGCAGCAGTTGTGCTCCTCTCAGCACCTTGACGGAGGCATCCACCACGCAAGGCTGGCGATGCTGAGATCGACCTGGGCAGCCCAGAAAAAAAACGGTAAAAGTAAAGTTGGTTGAACCCAAGATGATCTTAGCATTTTTTGACCCATGTGTTTCACAGTTTATATGTTATACCAGTTATACCCTATCTGGTCGGTGGTTTCAAACATTTTTTTCCACAATATATGGAATAATCCTTCCCATTTGACTTTCATATTTTTCAGAGGGGTGACGAAAAACCACCAACCACTTATAGTTGATAGTTGATATAAAACTTTTGCAATCGATTATGGGTCTCTGGACCTGGATTATGGGTCTTGCACATGTGGTTTCATGGACCTTTTTCTTTACATAAATCAACCTAAATCAACCCTTCCTTTGAAAGGTTTTGATGTTAATACAGGTAGCCTGCTAAGATTGCTAAGATATGACCATGCCGACAACTAAGATTCCTTCGACCAATGAGATCATTGGCCCGCAATTCTTATTTAACCAATTGGGACCCTTTAGCCCTTTAGCCGCTAATTGGGAACCATGTTCTTTCAAACCCTTTTCCAATTCTATTGACGCAAAAGGATGTCCAGTCCAAATTTCGAAATAACATCATTCCTAAATCGAAATTCTGTTCAATGGGATCCCAGATCAAACAACTTTAAAGTGATTGCATTTTACATATTCAGGATCTAATTGGGATTAACTGGGTATATGGAGGCAGCAGCGACCGAAAATGGTACCAGACACATGCCTTTTGAACTATAGTAAAGGTGCATAGAGCCAACAAATCAAGATAGTAACAATCCCCAAAAAACTCAAATCTGTCAAAGGTTCAATTTTGTTAGGATCTAAACCTTAAATTTTTCAGCAACTTATTTTACAGACTTTGTGGACCTTTTTTCCGTTGCGGACGATTATGGGGCATGAGACGTCCTGAGATCTGCTGGAAAAAAAAAATCGGCGGAACTTTTGGGGGCCTGTGCCCCTTGATCGGTTGCATTTGTTTTTTTACGGACTTTGTCCGTCGGCGGAACTCCACTACACAAATTGTGTACCTGACTTCTGCTGAAAAAAAAAAATCGGCGGAACTTTTGGAGGCCTCTGCCCCTTGATCGCCTGCAATTTTTTTTACGGACTATGTTTTTTTGTTTTTCGGCGGAACTCCACTACACAAATTATGCACCTGACATCTGCTGAAAATATTTTTTTTCAGCGGAACTTAGTATTCAGACCTATGGTTCGGCGGAACTCAACATCACAAAATGTGTAGTGGACTTCTGCTGATTCAATGGTTTTCCCTAGGATTTCTGCTGAAAATATTTTTTTTCGGCGGAACTCAACATCACAAAATGTGCGCCTGAGTTCTGCTGATTTGTATGGATTTTCGGCGGAAGTTCATAAGTTTAGTAACAGAGCGTCCCTGCAGCATTTTCTCTCACTGGCTTGTTACTGACCCAGCTGCAATGGACGCAATGGAAGAGGATTGGAGTGAGCCTGAATTTCAGGACACTGAATTCAAAGTATGCCCCGTTTAATTGATGGACTCTAGGTCCTCTAACATATATTCTCAAGTTTTTTGGGAATTAAATCTTGTATGGGAAATATCACCCTGCCACATATATATATATATAATATAAATATCATACATATATACATATATGTGTTTCTATCCAGGTATGTACACACAGACACATAAAAGACATATGTGTATATGTATATATATGTTTGTAGGTCTGACATACGTACATATATATATATATATGTATGTATGTATGTGAATATATAACTTATGAGTATACATATTTCATCGGATTCAATATGAATTCGACACACACACATATATATATATATATACAACTGTCTATATCTATCTATCACCCTGAACCACCTCTTGGTGTGTGTGTGTGTGTCTGCGGAGATGGGAATGCTGTGTTATTCTCTATTATCTTAAATATATTTTAATCAGTTATATTTAGTATGAAGGAAGTATATGTTGGTATTATATCACATGACATATATATATATATATATCACATGATCTGAATACAAATACACAAACACATATTTATGTTATATAGTTATATAATCATATACGTGTACCTATATACATATATATATATATATTTATACATAGCTATAATTTCGTATGGGTATAATATGGGGCTCAAAAGATCCAAATTGATGTCCCCAAATCAAAATCCCAAGCCCCATAATTGACTGCAAAAGTTTTATATCTGACTAAAATTGGATTTTCCATTAATAGATGTTGGTTCCATTAATGGATTTTCCATATATATATATATATATATCTTCAGTAGGATTTTCCATGATATGTACCGTTATACCCTATGATTCGAGGATGTTGAGTCACCATTTCTGTGGCTACTTACTTACTTTGAGTGTTTTGGGGGATCTTCGAGCCAAATCTGGGGATTTGAAGCGCGAGAAAGCGAGAAATACCCTCTGGTAAGCATACAAAAAACTATTGAAAATGGCCATAGAACTAGTTTACCCATGAAAAATGGTGATTTTCCATAGTTATGTGAACGTTTACCAGAGGGTAAACTGTCTTTTTTGGGTGGCTAAGACTAGCAATGTGATGATCCTGGTCGTGACTGTTTGTTCTTTGAAGCATCCACCAGATGAGGTGCTCGTTCACCAATTGTCGATGCAATTCTCGGACGATTCATGTTGACCCATGGCTAGTTGGGTCGGGTGACCCAAGATGTCCTTTCTGTACTTCTCCATCACCCCATTGGACAGGTAGAGCTAGCGATGGCCCGCAAGCACCATGTGGGGGCAGCAGTAGCTCCTCAACGCTGTTGCTTGGCATTTTTCGCAAAATTGTAGAATTTGCAGAGGCTTGAAGTCTTGAAGCATCTTCAAAGGATGTGAGGCCATTCAACGAGAATTCACAAGGTCCACCAGTTCCAAGATACCCTCTGGTAATTTAACATAACTATTGAAAATCACCATGCTATTAATGGGTAGTCATCAACTATTTCTATGGATATGTTCGAACATTTTTTGTATGTTTACCAGGCCGGGTAATCTCATCCCATGTTCATCCCATGTTCCATCCAACTCCCCAGGTTCAGTCCACAAGGTGCTCGCCCGGGTCCCCGAGGCCGCAGCCGTGGGTCGAGAGCGAAAAACCTGGGCCATGGGCAAAAAATGTTCATCCCTCCGACAATGGATAGTCTGATAGTCTCACAATAGATCATCATACCGTTTCAGTGGAGGATTATCCCTCAAGTAGACGGGACATATATGACACGTGCTATCTAAAAATCCTATGGTTTAGACATTCCTTTTTCACCCATGGCCATCAAAAGGGGGATCCATCTCTGAAAACCACGAATTTCGTGACCTCCTAGCAAAAGTTTGAGTTGCCAACAACATTGGACAGCGAAGCATTGAATTACAGCGGTTTAACCAGCAACCAAGGTTGGATTTCAGATATTGGAAGGTTTCAATCAATTGGGCAGTGGTTTAAAATTGTTTAAATATGTTTAAATAAAACACACATTCATTCGATCTTGAACTTGGCCAAAAGTGATTGTTTTGTTTGTTTAATTACAATATGAAGATGATCAACATGTGCACGTTTGACGGGCTCGAGTTTTGCTCACACGGTATCGCCAATAGACATCACCAGACTATGGTGTGTATCTTAAGTCCATGGTCGGCGATTCCCCGACTCCTGGGTTTGTCCCAGTATGCCTATGCCAGATCCTCCATGGTGCTGGAATATTTATATACCTACAAAACTGTGCCATGTTCGGGGTACTGTAAATGTAGGTAAATATTCCAGCATCATGGAGCATCTGGGTATGCAATCAAACTAAATAATGTTCTTTCCAAACCACACAAATGAGCTCAGCCACGAATGGAGATGTCCGTCCACAATGGTGGGATAGGGGTTGGCTCAGACTGAACAACGCACACAGACATGGTCATGGTCTAGCACCAAGAAAACCATTTTCCTAGCAGTTGATCGATCTTCCTATCATACAACAATATCTCCACGATGAACAAATTCAATTGGTTGGAAATTCTGATTTCTCATTGATTCAGCCAACAGTTATACCCCATGATTCCATGATAAATAGATGCGTTTCATCAGAATTCCATTCGTGTGCCATTTCTTCGGCTCTCAATGGAAAATCACCATGTTCAAAGGACATTTCCGGCTGGGTCGGACCAGAATCGTTTTGGTGAACTTCCACACCGTGGATCAGATTGACAGAAGATTAGCTGACATCGTAGTTCGGACACGATAGTTTTAACGAAAAACACACATATCATAGTATATCATAGTATATCATAGTATATCATAGTATATCATAGTATATCATAGTATATCATAGTTACAAATATGACCTTGAAAAAAGGTAGGTATACCTCCAACGACTCCAGTATGATGTTATTGTAGTTATATGATGTTATATGGTCATTATGGTAACCCTCTGGTAAACGTTTACATAACTATGGAAAATCACCATTTTTAATGGGAAAATCCACTATAAATCACCATTTTCAATAGCTATTTTGACATAACCAGAGGGTAGTTATTATGTTATAAGCTATCCAATGTCTATCGGTTCCATGGCCACAGGTGGCACCAGTCCCGAGCTGCGATCGGGAGGTTTGGAGGTGCGCTTAGGTTTGTCAAAAGGGAGAACGTTTACTGGAACTATCCGGATATTAATGGTTATGAATGATTATTAATGGTTTTGAATGGTTACTGATGGTTAACAATCGTGGTTTTCCTCATGGTCAATGGTTCTATGTGTGGTTAATTTCAAGTATTGCTGACGTTTTGTTTTGCGAATTTTGAATGTTTAACAGTGGTAAACAATGGTTCAACATGGTTGCCCTGGTGGTGATTCAGCCAACTTCCCCGCAAAACGCGCAAACCCCACTGGCGCAGCCAGCATTGGCCGGGAAAGATCTGAGTGAACGGTCAATCTTCAGCAAAGAAACGATAGGGCGGTTCTTGATGATTAGTAATGGTTATTAATGGTTATCAATGGTTATTAATGGTTATTAATGGTTATTACTTAATATTATATAATTGAAATTCAGTAGAAATTATACCTATCCAGGTCCATCCGGGGCTCAAGTTGCTGAGACTGTGGGATTTCGCCTGGCATAGCGCGGTGCTATTGATGTTTCGCGATTCTTGTTGGCTAAGCCTGTAGATGTTTTGAAAAGTCCCAATTTCCAAAATCTGATTTCAGGAAAAATCACTCCTTTTCTACAAGAACTTGAGATTAGAGAAGCCCAATTACCACTAGTCACTTTGGGGATCATTGACTCCAAGTCATTTCCACTAGTTGTATCCACTTGTATGGGGGGTTCTTAAAATAGGGGTACCCCACATCATCCAAAATCAGGCTACTTTAGTATTGCAACCCATGGTTTTGGGGTACCCATATTTTAGGTTGGGATCCGTTGAAATTGCCGATCTGAGCAACCTGTTTTTGGAAGGTGCCACGGCTACCTCCAACCCCGGGACGATCGTCCATAACTGACCAGTCGCGACGACTCAGTGATTCAGGGGCCAGATCATGGGGTGCCCCCAGGGCCCAGTTTCTTTGTTGATGTTCACCCCATGAACTATTTGGTGAACTATTATATTCGATGTAGTGGTGAACTATTATAGTTAACTATTATTCATATAGTGAACTATTATATAGTGAACTATTATATAGTGAACTCTTTCATGAATATTCATGATATGAATTTGATCTATAATTATCTACCATAAACATCCATAAACCCAAGAGCAAACCATTCGCAAACCATTCGACAAGTAAAAGAACTCAGCGATTCTCGGCAGCAGATCTACCGAGGACCAACTCGGATGTCCGTTTTTTTGAACTCGGTCCTGGATGAAGCGCCATTTGCCAATGGCTAGCCATTGTGTCTTGAGTGTTTTGCATATGTTTTTGCTAAGCAAAACTTGGTATCTTGGTTGATGGTTCCAAATTATCATTAGTCTGTGTCTGTGTTCTGCTCTGTTTGCGATCTTTTGCCTGTTTAGTACGCAACATCATGTTGAGAGTTGACGGAGATGTGGACACTTGAGAGACTTGAGAGACTTGAGAGACATCAAAAACGAAGAAAAACAATGGTGCTGTTTTTTCCTATTGAACAGCTCTTCTTGAAAGTTGTGCACATGTGGATTTCACAGTCTGGTTATTGCATCTCTCAGAAGTCCCTCAGTTCTGTCCCCAGTGTGAACACGAAACGCGCCGTTCAGATCGACGGTCGTGTCTCTTCAGCGGGCGTGCGCTTTCAGTAAGCTCGCCTGCAAATAGGTCAATGGGAATTGTCTTGGAAGTCGGCCACAGTACGTCGGCCATTGCCAACGGAGAGGCGTAACTTTTTCTGCCTCGCTGTCAAAGTGCTGTCACGTTGGTTGCAGTGAGAATGTTTCACTTAAACGAGTCTCACAGATCATACAGATCCACGTTTAGGGTTGGCTCAGCCTGGGGGAAAATGGCGCGTTCTGTGTCGTCGTTTCCATTCAGTCGGTATTCATCAAGGCATCAAGAACAACGAAATGAAGCATTGATTCCAGGGCAGGATGTCAAGAATGCACTTTTTTTTAAAAAGAAAACGAGGTTACACGATGTTACACTTAAGTCCCAAAATGGTTCTGGTCCCCAAAGGCCAGTTTTAGAGTTTCTAAGTGTGATGAAGCAGGACTTGTCGCTGGACTTGTCGTAGAATTGGGCAAATGGCTTGAAACCACAAGTCGCTGCGAGTCAATCCTATGGCTCAGAAATGACAAACAGAGCCACCGACGAAGCAGCAGTGTGAAATTTGAATATCAATCACTACAACGGAATCCAGGTTCACAGTCTGCCTTCCAAGTTAACTCTAAGACTCTAAATTGGTAAGTATAAAGCAATAATTTGCAATTCTGAACCACCCGTATTTTGATGTATTTTGGTGGTTTATGCCGATTTATGCCACGCATTTATATATGGTAAATTTGGGGATCGCTTACTATTCAGGCTGCTTGATTGTGGTTATATTGAATCAGTGGACTGCCGGCAGGGTAGGCTTTCGGAATTAGACTTTATTCATCTCTACTTGACATGCCAGACAAGATACCCTCTGGTAATTTAACATAGCTATGGAAAATCACCATTTTTAATGGGAAAATCCACTATAAATGGCCATTTTCAATAGCTACGTTAAATTACCAGAGGGTAGTGGTGTCATAGTTTCGGACTCATCATTTTGAGTTTGGAGCTGCAGCGATGCTGTAGGCGTGAAGAAAGAAGCTGACGATTTTAGCTGACGATTTTTGGTTGCTGTCCCCCTGCTTGTAAGTTCTAGATGCACATCTTGTGAATTGAGCATTGCTGGTAGTTTCGATTGTGGGGATGGATCAAAACCTACAGCATATGGATGTTTTTTGGCCCAAACATCATTTTACTGGTTGGTGGTTTGGAACATTTTATATTTTTGCATATATTGGGAACAATAATCCCAACTGACTCATATTTTTCAGAGGGGTAGGTATACCACCAACCAGTTTACCCTATTTTACCTGGCATTTGAGTGTTCACTAGAGTGCCAGGCTTTTGATCCATACCCATATACCTGGAAGGCCAAAGTGGTTCATTGTGGCAACTTTTGGACAGTGGCAAGTGTCAATGCCCTTTTTAAAGAAAACAGCGACAAAAACGTCCACTTCTTTCGCAAACAATAGGAAAAAAATGGTGTAAAAATCCGTACAGTGGCAAAAAAAGCGTGCATAACGGGCGAAATAGATTGAAATAAGCAACTTTGCAATTCCAAAAAGTGGCACCAGAAATGTACACAGTGGCGTAGTTGCGTTGTAGAATTGCGGACACCTGGCGTTCCAGGTATTCAGAATGTCCTTCACAGAGATTTTGATCCCAAAGAACATCTCCGAGAATGTCTGGAATATGGGTTTGTCTATAAGAGTTGAGGAAAAAAAACAAGTTTTGATTTTTTGAAGTTGTTGATCACATCATTTTCCACCATTTTCCCATTTCAATGGTTAGTTATATACTTGGGTGGTACACTTTTCAGAGCCCATGACCAGGTGCAGATGGGGAGTAACAGCCTGGCTGTGGTGCTCCTGCAGGCAGAGTGGTGGAGGGGGGAGGAGTCGCAACTGTTCACCCATGAATTTTCCGATTGATCTCCATCTATATTCATTTATTATCATTTATTTAAGGTTGAATTGCGTTGGATTCAATTACACTCTGACAATAGTTTCTATAGATTGACTTATAGGTTGAATATACCAGGTGACATAGGATCGATTCCGTTTAAAACATCAGAACCCAACTAGGGCACTAGGGATGATTCAAATCCACCAGATCTGGTGGTATATTTCAGCGCGCCATATGCGAAGCATGGTGTTGTTTGTTTTTACCATTATTTACCTACAAAATGTAGGGTGATTTTGAGGGCAAATGTAGGTAAATATTCCAGCACCATGGTTCGCAGATGGCTATTGAATATATTTTTTTACCCCCACAACTTCACCTGGGGTCATTCGGGTGTCAACATCAACATCAACAACAGCAACAACAACAGCAACAACAGAGATCAATAGATATTGGTATAACTATGTATAACTAATACCCAAATCCTGAGATGATTAATGTATATTTGTTTCGGTATACATGACGAATGCAGCCAAAGAGAAATAATGCTTATAGTTCCATGTTTCATTTCAATCAACATGTTGTTAGTTGTTGGTGAAGTAACTCCCTGTTGCACTCAATATATCGATGTTATTGGGGTTTCATCTCTTTTGTCCTGCTCTACCCTCACCTTGAAAGGGATGCAGGTGAAGTTGTTTTTTAAATGTTGGTACATAGCCAGCTTCGAGCAATAGAATGATACCCTAGAAATCACAATTCTTGGTATACGTTTTATGATATGTTATGTTTTGGATACCTGGCCCGACATTCACGCATGGCCATGTAACCAACCAATGCCAAGAATGATAAGGTAATACAACGAACAGGATGGGTAATCGCAGCCCTCGGGTGCCCAATTTTTTGTGCATGATATGTTTGAGCTATACACAACGACACATAATACATCAACATGCCAATCGATTTGGAAAAACAACTGTCACAAACCCAGACTTTTCAAAGGTTTGGCTCAGTCAACCCCATGTCATCTGGTAGTTTTAAGGTGACCCCAGACATTCGCGGCTTGAGATCTCCATTGCTGGCTGAGTCACTCATGGCCATGGCCATAGCAGGTGGAATGGAAAATCACCAGGTTTTCATGTGGTTTTGATGTTTTCTTCGTGTAATTTCCGGTAAATCAATTTGCCAACCAATTTGGTAACCATAACATACCATAACCATAATTTATCATTAAATTTCACATAATTTATCAACATTTATCACTTTCATATGTGTTGGTGGTGTTTTCTTTTTCCACTAAGCCAGGTTTCATCGGTGACTGGCGCAAGGTGCGACTGGAAATGGTAACTTTATACCACCGATTTATGGTGAAATTTCAATGGAATTTCAGGATCCGATTGATTGGAGGTACCTACCATATATAAGGCCTATATAAGGCCTATGTAAGTGAATATCACCACAAAATATGGCCTTATATGGTACAGTACCTCCATTTTAGGATCCTGAAATTCCCATTGAAAATTGGGAAAATCGGGCATGCTTTAGTTTTTTGTTTTACCAACATAAGAGTCCCTTCTGAAGCATCCAATATATTGGACCAAAGTTTTTCCACATTACTGATGACTTGACCATTACTGGACTTATACTGGTTGGTGGTTTGGAACCTTCTTTGTATTTTCCCATATATTGGGAACAATCATCCCAACTGACGAACTCATATTTTTCAGAGGGATTGAAACCGCCAACCAGTATAATATGTTTTTGTACTCAGATGCGGAGAATTTTGCTATGGGTCAAGTCAGAAAGGGTTTTTCACAAATCGATGGTTCAGTAATACATGGTACTAAAATGAACCAAAATCCGTAGTCCCCCAGGTCTTTAATTTTGACCCATGTCCAAATCATCTATATATTCGTGGTGGGTGGGTTTTCCACATGACATGGCAGTGTTTCTAGGAGGGTATCATGATCATAGTTTGGACCTTATCAGTCCCTGGAATTTATAGCGATAAGATGCTTTGCAAGCGAAATTTATTGTGTATATACTAGAGTTACTAGAGAGAATGTGGTAACCCACTCACGGTTTTGGCGATACATAGAATTATTATAGGATATTAGATTGGAGTTTTATCCGCAATTGGGTACCCGAAAACCCGGGATAATATCAAATGACCCCCAATCCATGTTTCAATACGTTTCTTGCTGTGTCCACAAGATTTGAATGCAATCGACAAGTAGGGTTAAAAACCAGTTTATTGGCCAAGTTGGCGATTGGAAAATCCAAGTTTTGAGGTGACAGACCCAGATGGATTTGGTAGCAAATCCTATTCCATGATGGTTTCGAAGCTTATTTTCTTGAATATCATGTGGCCATTTTGGGGGCACAACGTCACAACTCCATTTTCCGACACATCCAGATCTTGTTCTAATGAACAAACATGACACAACCGTAGTGAATTTTCGGTTTCGCAGCTGTGAGCGGCTCGGTCAAATTGGCCAGAGCCCACTGAAGCTCAGGGCTCAGGGGGTACTGTGAAGGGATCCTGGGTCAACAGAAATGCCATGGCGGTCCCACCATGGGGTACCAATAATGGATGATGATCTGTATTGATGCACGGCTAGACTATTACAGACTCAAAAAAAAGACACCATCTCTGGGTACCCTCTGGTAAACTAACGCAGCTATGGAAAATCACTTTTTTTAATAGGTAATTCAACTATAAAGAAGGTTTTGCAGCTGATA